CCAATCCAAATTTGCCTTCGGCTTTTAGAGAAATTGTGTTTTAGTTCTGGTTTCGCCAACAGATGGCGCCACTTGCTTATTCTTGTCCAGGCTTTCTTATCTTATCTAATCATTATTTCCTATCTTGTTCATTTGCGGTTTTGCAGCTGAAGATGATGGTTCGGTAAAACCATCGAAACTAGTCCTGTGAAAATTTTGTAAATATAACGCTGATTTTTGTTGTTTGACTTCTGAATTACTATCAACAAAAGTTGGATTATGGCAGATTGAAATAACATAATTACTTCGAACATACATACAAACTTTCATTGTACATTGTACTTCATACAAACAATAGTATATCTAGTTACATCGAATTAAAATAAACATCGTTTTAAGGAACTAATTGAAGATTTTTTTTTTTTTTTTTTTTTTTTTTTTTTGTGCATTTTATCATACTTAGTTGAATTACTAAGGCAAATTCTCTTATTAATACATTTCCTTTCATTTTTTTAACTTGTTTACACACCAAATGCATCAGCACTGAAGTCTTACATTATTATTTTTGTAAATTAATGTATCATAAATACAGAAAAATATACATTAGAAAATCACATAATACTTACATTTACACTAATATATCTAATAGAGTCGTATATTATTTACATTATTTTTTAATTAATGATTTAATTATTACACTAATACAGTCCAAACTCTTAATGTAACTATTTTATAAAAACTATTTATACCTATTTAGCCTGTTTCAGACACTTGTAATATTTCTGAAATCTTGCATTATTTTTGCAAGTTGTAGAATAAGAGGTATTTATACAGATGCGATAGCATCTTGACATATGTCTTCTCTTTTATATGCAAAAAGTTTTCTGTTCTTCATAATCAAGGAAACCTTTTGTTGTAAATGAGGTATCGTTAGCATGCATTTAATGTACTCAGGCGTAATTTGTGACCTTCCTTTGCAGTGTAGCTCTTTTGTGAGCTGGCACTTGAAAATATAGTGCTCTGGGTCTCCCTTTTCCCCACATACGCACTTGTCTGATTCGCTCAAATTTCGTGCAAAGTAGTACGTGGGGAAAGGACCATGTCCAGATAAGAATATGTTGATGAAGAAGTTATAAGAGATTGGATCATATGTGGGTTTCTTGTAGAAGTTGAAAAGCCTTTCTACCTACTTCTGCATTTTCCCATTCAGTTTGCCATTTTTTTAATGTAATTTGTTTCAACATATGTTTCATATACGATTTTAGGGAATGGGACATTGATTGGAGGTAGAGATGGGTCTTGAGCTGCATTTTTAGCAAGCGCATCTGCCCTTTCATTTTGGGGCTTGTCCAGCATGCGCTTTTACCACTTTTATTTTCTTGCGCGCTGTGATAATAAATCGTAGATATCTTGCACTATTGATGATTTGTTTGTTGCATCATTGACAGCTTTCTTTAATTGCCGCTTGGCTATCACTGTAGATGGTAACATGTGTTAGATGCTTTTGATGAGACCATAGAATAGCATGTGTTTTATGGCTGAAAGCTCAGCTTAGAAAACGCTGTTGTTGTTTCCTTAGGTGTCCTTTCCCTCCATTCTGTTGTTTCTTGTTCTGAGACAGGAGTGCAAAGAACGCGCATCCATCCTTACTTCTTCGTTTATCTTTGACCCATCTGTGTACACGACTGGAAAATGTAGGTGCACTGAGGGTTGTCTTCTTTTGTAGATATTCTGAGTTTTGCATGTACTGCAGGGTGTCTTAGGTAAGGATTTCGAGGCTGTTCGAAATCAAGGGGGCACAGGTCTTGATCTTCTACCTCTATGTTTTTCTTGAGGTGGAATAACGTGGCTAAGTCTGCATCTTCTTTTGCTTTCAGGTGGAGGGGTGGGATTCCTGTTAATACACAGAGAGCTGCCGTTGAGGTAGTTCTGTATGCTTTTGCTATTTGTAAGAGGAAGGGGCGTTGGATCGAAGCTAAGAGTCTTTTCTTTTTCACTGTCATAGGGTGAGTCCATGCTGATGCCCCGTAGAGGATTATTTTTTCGATCACGGTATTATAGAGAATGTTTTGCATCCTCGACTTGAGGCCCCACGTTGTGCCTTGCATCCTTGCGAGGGCTCTAGAAATAGTTTGGGTCTTCTTCCGAATTTCCATGAAAACTGTTAAAAATTTCCGCTGTTTAAAGCAGTGTATGCAAGTCATCCTAAGTTAAAATGTCGGTTATACATTTCTTTTATTTATATATATCTTTTCTGAATGGAACATTGAAAGGCGTGTTAACTGTGCTTTACTGTATTTTCTCTTTTAATATCTGCAGTTTTCAAACGCATCGTAGTCTGGGTTACAAAGTATTCTTCCGAAAGAAACGCAATTCTAATAAATAAAATCAAATTCTGGAAAATTTATATTAATAAATATATTTAAAATGCTCAGTTCGAAGGAATAAATAGAAAATTTTAAAACAATTATCTGAAGAGACAATGCAGCACAAGCAATTAAAATAAAAGTATAAAGATTTAAAAATTACCTAAATAATAACTATACAAAAATATATATAAAGAAAACTATTTGAAAAAAAAAATAATAAAAAAATCAAAAATAAAAAAAAATAAACGCTGCACCTTTATTTATGCAGTTCAAATAGGTAAATAGAAATTTTTTTAAAACAGTTATTCGAAAAAAAAATGCAACTTAAACAATTAAAATGAAATTCGAAAAAGAAAAAATTACTTAAAATATAAGTTTAATTAAAAATATAATATAAAAAATATTATTTGGAAAAAAGGAACGATGGTGACTTTTTTTCCTCTCATGGGAAAGGAAACTAGGTTGCCGTATATTAAGAAGTTCGCCCTATGACCTATTCTTGGCGCAAATTCAAAAAAAGCGCCAACATAAATTTGTGAATTTCTCCGTAAATTTTGCTCCAAATTTTACAAAATTTCATATTTAGGCGTAATTTGAGCTGTAGAATCGAAATATGTAAAAAATTGTTATTTCAGAAAAGTCCAATTTTGTGTCAAAATACTTATGTTAGAATAGTGCTATATATAAATCTTATATATATTCTAAGTTGCGCTTTCGAGACATGAAGAACGCAATTTGAATTTTGTCAATCGGCCCAGTAGAACGGGAGATATAGAATTGTCTCATTTTTTTTTTGAGCAGTGTACATATGTATCTGTGTGTGTACACACATATATATGCACATACATACACTTCTGAATTTGGTCCTGATAACAGAAGAGTACCAGAAAATTGGTGCCATATCCCTTATAAAGAGTCCCACATCTCAGATAGCTTAGGCCTCACCAAGTCTAAATTTTACACTGTTTAGGAAAGTATAAAGTGTTTTGTATGACTTTGCATTTTAACACATGAAAACTGTGCTTTAGAGTTAATAATTTTTTCATAAGCTATGGACCTGAAAGTAATTTTGTATGTTTTTGATGGCTTAGTGATCAGGGAATTTGTATGCAAAGTGGGTTATTTATTTAACATTTAATCAAATTTTGTACTATATTATTGAGTTTAAAAAAATGTAAAATTTTTATTAAAAAAAAAATACCACCTTCAGAAGCGGACCCAGGAAAAAGTATGGACATTTCTTTTGAGGTTTAGTGTTATTTTTTTAAAAAAAGATGAGTTGTTTTTATAATTTGGGAATCATTACAAATTCAGAAATTGAAATTTTAATGAATGTAAATATTTTACAAAGTTACATAGTACAGTACAAAGTCCATAATCAGCACTCGTCGGGACTTCAGCGATTCCGGATTAGGGTTGTTTCCGGATTATAGATCATCAATTTAAATCTGGTAAGATGGCATGCAGAAATTATGCAATTATGAAACTTCTTTCAATGTAAGTTGTTTAAGTTGCTTAGTTTTTTGTACTAATACTTTCTTTTTTATTCTATAAACAGAAATAATTTCTTGTTCAGTTACAAAGTTCCACTGTTCAAGTCCTGTAATTGCTGTGTCGAGAATACCGACTTACTTGTCAATCGAAATTTTTTCGTTTTCTGTCACTTTTTTCACTATCGGAAGCGCGCATTAAATGCGCATGTGTAAACGCATTACGCGAATGCGCAAGTTTGTGGCTTCGAGGTCCGGTTTATGGATCATTCCAGGTAATGGACGTTCGGATTTCGGACTTTATACTGTACTTTGTACATGAACCTGCAGCCTTTTTTTTTTTTTTTTTTTTTTTTTTTTTTTTATGTTTTGAATCTACTTTTTTATCTTAAGTATTTGAATCTCTTTTATCCAAATTTTTGTGAAAGTGGTTTTGGATAATGAAGTTCCATACTACTGAAACAATGTGTGAGGAATACTTAAAACTCGAGAGATTCTGAATTCTGAGTAGCATTGAACTATCTGTTATTATGAATTAGCCAGATGTGCCTAATTTAATTTTTTTTTTCTTTTTTGAAGGGTTTAAAGTTATCTGTAATGAAGTTAGACTTTGAACCTCTTATTAAAAATAGGAAGGGGGAAAGCATAAATTCTATAGTGATAAGCATAAAATTCTATAGTGTGTCTTATGTGGAATTTTAGGCTTTGTTTTACAATTTTTCAGTGTACCTCTGAAGACTTTCTGTTATAGATAATTGCATCTTTTTGCCTTCGGTACAGAGCTTGAAATCTGTCATGCTTTGATCAGATAAGATCAACAGTGTTTTATAATCAATATTGTATTAGAAGATAAGATCAACAGTGTTTTATAATCTGAACTTAGCTATATTCTTAAGGGAAGCAGGAGTTAAGAAGAAGCTTTATAATTTTTTCCCATTAAAAACACTTTTGTTTTGAAACTTTAGTTTCTTTTGAGTTTACCATTAATAGAGAAAGTAGTTGTAATTTAATGTAACAGAAAGTAGTTGTAATTTATGGACATCGGTGATTCTGTAAGTTTACTGAAATATTTTATGATGCTTAGTTGTATTTAAAGAATTAAAAAATAATTGACATTGTCTTAATGAATTGTGACTAATCTCAAAACTTCTGATTTCTCAAGGCTAAACAGGGTGAAAAAGAAACAATTTTATGGGTCAAATTTGAATATTGTGACATAAATGGTAAGCATATATTTATGAATCCTGCTTTTTGCACTTTCATTTATTACATTCATTATCTCTGCTGAAAGTTTCTGATTTTGCCTTCTGTTGAAGTTAGTACTTTTTAAATGTTCTTGGATTATTTACGGTGTTGCAAATTATAGTACAAAGTACTGTCATCATAGTACAAATATAGTTGCAAATCATAGTACAAGGTACTATAATTTGCAACACTGTAAATATTTCTAGCTTCAGCATTCAGTAGAATTGCCATGTTTTTGATGTACTTTCAAGTATATGCACGACGATAACCAAGCTGCTTGTGCATGTATCACATACATGTTTATACATATATTGATCACCAGCAGTATCTGTCAGTTGTAAAAATGTAAATATTGTAATATATAGTTTAGTTTTTTTTTTTTTTTTTTTCCACAGATTTTTCATGTTTCTCATAAAGAACAGATTCTGTTGGCCATAAAAATAACTGAGCAAGTATTTTTTGCCAGATTAAGTTGATGACTTTTTATTAGGGGTATGGATAATAAGAGAGTGCTGGTTATTTTTTATGCTATGCAATGTTTGTGCTTGATTTAAAGTTTTACAGTTTTATTTTATTCTTTGTGATTTAAAAATGAGAAGTTCTGAATACTTACATTTATTTTCTGTGAAAAATAAAATTCAGTAATTGGTCTGTGAAAAAATGTGATTAATTGGGATAATACTGAGGACATCTGCAGTTAACTCAAAATCATGATTAATGTTTTTAGTGATTTAATCAAAGTATGTTTTAATTGCATTAATTAAATCAATATTCAAAATTTTTCCCAAATGTCCATGCATGCTTTCTTTCCATTTCTTTCTGTTATTATCTATGTTCTTTTTCCCTCCTTTCTTGGTGCACGTGGGCCTCACCAATGACTGAGTGGTATAAAGTCCCTGAATACTGGTACTTTTATCTAGATTTGATTGCAGGTGAACAGGCTAGCTTCAAAGGCATTTTCATGATTTTCTTCATTTGTAACATGGCTACAAGCCAGTTCCCTTAGAATGTTCTCCACAAAGGCATCCCTTCCCATAGACAAATAGCTCTAGCTTACTTTACCATAATCAAATAAAACAAACCAAACCAAACAATGTGTGCACATGCTGTTTTTTTTTTTTTTTTGTGTGTGTGTTCTTTTGTTTTTCGATAGGAATTGATGTAAAATAGCTATATACTTGATTTATTTTTAAGATTTAATGTTACTAGTACAGTCAAAAGTCTTTAATCCGAACTTGTCGGGACTTCGGCGATTCCGAATTATCGTTTTTTCCAGATTTTAGATCATCAGTTTAAATCTGGTAAGATGGCATGCAGAAATAATAAAATTAAAAATATGAAACCGTAATTTATGATCTAAAGGGTATCAAAATTTACAAAAAAAAGCTAATTATTTGTTTACTTTATTAAACCATTTCTTTCAATGTGGCATGCATAAAGCTACATTAAGTCAAAATTAGAAATTGGCAACAGAAAACTATTTGATGTGTATTCGTGATATTTATAATGATGAGGAATTTGATTTAAATCATATCCAAGATGGAGTATCGAGATGAAAATACCTTTAGTAAGGAATTATAAGCCAAATAAAATAAAACATTGGCTGAAGATAAGGATAGTGCTGACAGATCAACTTCTATCATTGCGAGCCCGACGTCTCCCCCTTTCCCCCGCGCAGCGTGAAAATTGAAAACAGTTTCAGAATAGTTAAAAACAAAGGGTATGCCGTATCCATTTTTTTCGCAATTCCACTTTTCTTTGATGGAAATCAAACATGCTTTGCTTTGTAGATCCTTTGGCAGCTCCAGAATCGGGAAATTTTGAATAATCGAAAGTTCAAGCTTACTTTTATAAAAATGCTCTAACAGTTTGGAAAAGATATAAGCCGGATCAATGAAGATTAAGGAACAACGCAATCACAACATTAACTGAAATAGGTAATTAGATAATTTTAATTATTAATAATAAATAATTAAAATAATTTTAGCTTAGCTTATACCATCCGTTATACATTAAATGCGCATGCGTAAATGCATATGCGCTTGCGTAAAGGTCTTATGCGCATGTGTAAATGCATATGCGCATTTGTAAATGCATTATGCATTTAAAAAACGTTTGTAGCTTTGAAGTCCGGATTATAGATCATTCCGGATTATGGACATCCAGATTAAAGACTTTTGACTGTATCACTTTCAATAAGTGATGTAATAATGTTCATATATCTTAGATTGTATACTATTGTGGATAAAAGCAATTCTCCAATTATATGACTTCGTCCGCTCTCACACTTGTTAGCTCATTCATTTTTCGGTGTCTGCTGAAAGCACCATAGGAAAAACAAAATTGTGGAAAAAACAATACCAGGAAAACACATTGTGAAAACATCATGATGGAAAATAAAGCACAGCCAAAACTTCACAGTTTCAAAATATTGTTGCCCAAAATACCATAGTATAAAATAGAGCACGTATAAAGAATTGTTATGATGAATGTTATAGACATGCATTTTCTCACTCCTCACATTTTAAGTGAATTTTGGTACAAGGATTTGGGAGAATTTAGTAAGAAGAAGTAATTTTATCTTCCTGTCTTAACCAGGACCGTTGCTAGGCCATTGGCTACCTGCGTACTTTTCAAGGATTGCCGCACCCAAATAAAAAAAAGCTCAATGATTAACAAAAATTTGTTTTCATACTCACTAATTACTTATGTATGACAAATTGTATAAAAAGTACTTACATATGACAAGTACCTACAATGAATTAAAAATATTTAGTCACTGTATCGCAAGAGTGTGGGGCCCCCTGATTTTCGCCATCCATGTACTTTTATGCACTGCACCTCTTCTAGGAATGGCTCTGGTCTTAACTGACAAATTTTGGTACTGTTCTGTTATTGGGAGCGGATTCTTAAATTTTCCCTGAATAAGCAAGATGGAAACATAAATATTCAAAATTTGGAAATGAAGAAAAATTAATGTTATGTATAAGAGTTAATGGAATTTTAAACTTGTGTTACTAATTATGAAAAGTCATTATTTAATTAACTTATTTTATAAAGATATGTTAGTAGATTTTCATGAAAAAATATGGTATTAAACAGATTAGAAAGAGATTAGATTAGATTTATATGCATGTTTAAATTTCTGTTAACTGATATATGAAGCATTAATTTTTTCTATTTCGTAGACTTTGAATCAGGGGCGTAGCTAGAGCTTCCAGCACCCGGGGACAACTGAAGAATTTGCGCCCCTTTCTGTGTGCCAAGAATGGAAAACATTTCATTAAAAAATTTCATAGCATCAATTTGGCGCCTCTTGGATGCTGCGCCCGGGAGCAGATGTCCCCCCTTGCCCCACCCTAGCTACGCCACTGCTTTGAATCCTTCTTTTAAGTAAAAATGTATTGGTCAATTCAAACATATGAAATATCATATATTTCTTCTTGTGCTCAAAATGCGTGTTTTCAGTTATATAAGTGCTTTTTATTTTGTGCTGTGATATTTTGTATGTCAGTGTTTTAAAATTGTAAAGCTTTTATATCGCTTTCTTATTTACCACAATATTTTAGAGCTGCATTGTTTTCTCCTTGCTTTTCTCCTGTGATGTTTTGAATGATGATGTTTTCTCCTTGCATCATTTTCTTTGCAATCTGCAGTTTTTCACTTGTAACTCATTTCTCTCTTTTCCGGCCTACCAGCGGCCGAGCAGTAAAGTCACTGAAAACTGGTAGTTCAGTCCAAGGTTCGAATCCTGCGAACAGGCTGGCCGCATGGGCGTTTTCGTTGTTTTCCTCATGTGTAACGAGTATATGAGCCTGTTTCCCTTAGAAAGTCCTTCACAAAAGCATCCCTATCCTTAGGCAGATAGCCCTCGAGGCTTTACTGTAATTAAATAACCTAACCATTTCCCTTTTCCTTTTTATGATTTTCATAGACACTTTTATTTTATGCTGATGGTTTGCGAAGGTAATTTTTTCATCATTCCTCAATAAACAATCTTAAAAATTTTTTTTAGGCAGGACTAAGTTAATCTTCCCCTATATAATTGACAGGGAATGTATTTGCTGTGAATTAAGTTAATATTAAATATGGTAGAAAATATTCTATATGATGTAGGGACAATATTAGATATGATTTGTCTATTGTTAACAAAGCTACTTGAAATATTTTACTGGCACACTTATGTTTTCTAATAAATGCCTGTATATTTATTTTTTTGCTTTTTATTACCAGACATAAAATAATTTTATGAACTGAAGATAATTTTTGTATTATATTAAAAAGAACTGTTGAAAACTGTTAAAAGTTTTACAAATAAATTCTCCTGCTGTATATTATTATACTTCTTAAAAGTACCCATATATATGTAATCATCATTAAAGACATCAAGTAAGAAATTTAGAACTAATATTTCACAAAGACCAGAAATTGAAATTCATAATTAATAAATTTTAAATAATCATATAAATGCAACACAGTTTAGAAACCTTAAAACCAAAACATTTCAAACAAGCAAAACCCCCTTTCAAAAAATTGATGAAATTTAAAGAAAATGAACAAATACAGAAGAGGAATTCAGTCAACCTCAATGTCACTTTATCAGAGGGGAGGACCATTGAAATTAATTGAAATTTCCCTTCGACAAAAATCCTTGCTTTTCTGTATTCAGAATTAGCCGATGAACCTTTTCAACGTATTTAAATGATAATATATATTTCTGTGATGCACGTGATACTAAGGATTAATGTTTCCTACTGAGATTGTGAGTTTTATAAAAATTGTGCTGTGTAAAAAATTTATTATTTTGTAAATGTGTGCCGTTTTTTGAACTATAATATAAAAAACGGTACTTTTCTGTTTTGTCAGTGCAAACAATAAAGTCGCCAATAATGGTACACCTGATGCCAAACGGAATATCTTTGCTGTTAACATTTTACCCTTCATTTTCAAAACAAGTCGCAGCCATTTATCAGATTGATTGTTTCTTTCAATACTGGCATACAATTAATTACATAGAAATTTTACTAGTTAAATTTTAATACCATTCGCAGTAATTAATTAGGATGCAATCACACCACTCACTCGAAGGCGAAAATATGGAAAAGATAAAATCAAGGGTTAAATTCATCAAATCTAATGAGAATCCACTAGCGAAGTAAAGCACTGCGGTTTTACATAATTTCTGAGCAAGCTTTTCATACAAATTGAAACAATTCTTGCATTTAAACTTGTATTCCAAATAAAGATTTAACTTGAAATTAATGCAGGTAATTACTGAGAGAATTAGATTTTGTAGTGTAGTTTACATGAGATAAGATCACTTGGGGGTCACGTGATATGAACCAGCAAATCAGGATGTTGAACCATGAAAGCTTAATAAATTCTTAAATTAATGTCTTTTTACAAATTTATTGTCTTTATTTATTGGCTTTTTACAAAATTTTAAACCATATTAAAATGTTTATGCCTTCGAAATAAAAAATTCTTAGAACTAACATTTGTTAACATTTTTAACATAACATACTGTATGCTGTCGCCAACAAAATCTGCTTAGTGAGATTTGCTCCGGCGAAATACAAAAGTACCTAAAAACCAATTTTTAATGAGGAAATGTGTGTTTATTGTTTTATGTCTATGCTATTTTTTCCCCTTTAAAAACATCATCCATTTATTTTAAAGTTAATGCTTTCTTCTAATGGCTTTTCAGTATCCATCTACATTCTGTGAATATAATTTTGCATTAATTATTTGTTTCATGATTATTTTTAAATATTGGTTGATTAGCATTTTTTATTCCCATTATATTTTTGACTTCAGATTACAGTCTTATTCGAGAAGAAAGGGAGCATAATGCAAATCATCCTCCTCTCTTGATTGTGCTTGGCTATAGCAATGGAGTACAGATTTGGTGTGTTCCTGTATGTATTTTTAAAATTTAATAACATTGTGCTTGTTCTGTTCCTTTATATTTATTTATATAGATATGTATTACAGTAAATAAATTTTTGTTTTTAATTTTAACCTTAAGTTTGCATTTATTTGTTGTAGACAGATTTTTCATTGTCTTTCACTGAATAAGCTAGCTATAAATAATTAATAATTTGTCTACAACAAATAATTCAGTGATTATTCAGTGTAAAATTATTAATCCATTTTGGGAGTTTACTTTTAATGCATTTCGTTATTTGTATAAGAACTCATTGTGTGCTCTTCTTTTGACAGATTTTCTTTTATTCTCTCAGCCTGTATAATATGAAACTCTGGTGCACCATGTGCATTGCATTGAACTTTGCATTGAACTTTTTTTCAATTTTGTAATTCTTTTTGTATATGTTCATATCAGAAGGCTATTGAATGTGACTTGTTTTGTAATGGACTTGATTTCAGGAGTTGTTTGTGAAACTATCTTTCCCATGACAGGTAGTCCACATGACCTTCACTCTGATAAATGAAATACATACACCTTAAAAATAGAAAGTGGAATTTAAAATTCAGTAATTACAGATTCGTATTATAAATAAACATGTGTACATTGAATTTTTTTAGGTTGTATAATAACATATATTTGTTGTATACTAAGTAAATTCAAGTTCTGGGGTTTTTCATTAAGCCATTAGTTGGTTGAGCATCATTCCAGCTTTCATGATTGGCTAAAAAACAGGCATTTCTATTTTCATGGTGGTGTATTTAATTATGGCAAAGCACACTAGGGCTATCTGGCTAAGGGGAGGGATGCCTTTGTGGAGGACTTTCTAAGGGAAACTGGCTTGCATACACGTTACACATGCGGAAAACCACGAAAACACCCATGCAGCCAGCCCGTTTGTGGGATTTGAACCTCGGATCGAACTACCAGTGTTCAGCGACTTTACCGCTCGGCCGCTGGTGGGCCTTCTATTTTCATGATTTTTCATTTTTATAACTTTACAAAAACATTTTTTTTTTCATTTCAAGGCATTCCTGCTTTTATTTAGATGATTTATGCAATTAATCAACCTTGAATGCTTTAAATAAATTGGAAAGATACAACTTTACATACTGAAATTATGTCCATAATATTTAATATCACAACAATTTTAATGTTAATAATGGTATGCACAAAATATGAAAGTAAAAAAAAATATATTTTTTATTATTTTCTCCTTTGGTTCTTTTTTTTTTTTTTTTTTTCCAGTATTATTTTTAATGGTTTTGGCTGTAATTTGCATTATTTAATGTCTTGAGTTTGCTATTGGTTTTGAAAACTTACATTTTACATTTAGATAAATTTAGAAGAATCTGTAAGTAAGAATAAATGGTACTTGCATGTTATCACAACCACCTTGATGCAGTTCAGCGAATTTTTTTAGATTAAAAAAGACTTATTGTAAAAGACTAAAGTTACTTATTGTATGCAAGTTAACAGTTTTCATGACTTTTATTTCAGGATTATTAATATTTATTGTTAATTGACAAAAATATCAGCATATCAAAAAAACACTTTAGTGTAGTAGTTCTCAACCTCTTTTGCCCCATGCACCTCTTTCAACATTTCTAAAAGATCAGCCCACTTCTTTTTTAAACCTCACAAAACACATATATATGTTTATTTAGATTTAGAATATTTTTGAAGTTTATCAACAGAAAATCTAGAAAATGCTGGTAAATACGAAAACTTTAATGAATATAATTGTTAAGCCGCCAAATTTTTAGTATGTTTCAAACACTGGCAACCATGTACATAACCATTCTTCAAGCAATCCTTTTCGTAACATTCCTTCAGTCAAGCAACTTCGCCATTTATACATATGGTGTTTTTTTTTTTTTTTTTTTTTTTTTTTGTATTTCAAGGTCAAATGGTTTTTATAAACAAATCTTAATATTTTTTTGCCTTAGTTTCAATTTTAAATATGCGCTTTTGGAATTTGTCAGTAATGGGAAAAAAAAAAAAAAAAAATTGTATTAAAATTTATTCCGGAATACAGTGTTTTGCAGTATAATTGCTAAAGCAAACCAAGTGTAAATCACGATAAAAGCATATTTTTATATTACTTTGAATATTACCATCATTCTGTGAAATGATTTTGAACTATAATGACAAAATTTGATTCCAGAGACCATTTAAAAGCAATATAGCTATCCTGTCAACCGTTGGTGGAAATTTCAGCAATGGTTGCCATTCGCCAATCATTACTTGGAATTCTAAAGAAGTGATGTCTGTTTTTTTTAATAAACTATATTTGCGTGTGTTATTGACAGATACAAATTATAAATTGACCACAGAACAAAAGCATATATGAGTATTTGTTCAGACTTTTAAATAAAGTTGAGTGCATAATAAAGTCCTTAATCCAGATGTCCATTATCCGGACCACAAAAAACAAAGCAAACAACTTACATTGAAAGAATGGCCAGTGCGATTTTTTATGCATTCAACCGAACTTTATTTGGATTTTTCATTTAAAATGAAAATTATGATATTCAGAGTTATAAATATTACTAAATAAGTATGTCCCCCCCCCCTTATATTAAGTGGCGTGTGTTAGACAAATAAAACTACAAGATCTTGATTGAGAGTTTTTTTTTTTTTAATAATGGTTGGTTAATACTAGTATAAATTTAAGTGAGTTATATTGTAAAATTTTGGATAAAATCTTAGAATACATTATCCCAATTTCAAAAATTGTAACAAAGTTCACGTTTACATGAATGTTTGAAACAAAATTAAACAACTAACGTTTTTAATTTTTGTCTCAAAATTGACCTTGGATTTAGCTTATTTGAAAGAAATGTTACTCTAAGTGTTTCCTTTTTATGTTTAATAATGCGTTTCCAATCATGGCAGCTTTTTTTTTGGGCTTTTATTTTTTACGTGCCAAAAAAACGAAGCAAACAACTTACATTGAAAGAAATGTTTAATAAAATAAACAAATAAATATTAAGCTTTTTTTTTTTTTTTGTAAATTTTGATACCCTTTAGATCATAATTGCTCTTTATTTCATAAATTATGGTTTAATATTTATAATTGTATAATTTCTGCATGCCATCTTACCAGATTTAAATTGATGGTCTATAATCCTGAATTGCCGAAGTCCTGACAAGTCCGGATTACAGACTTCGTACTGTATAAATATTAATTCAAGCTTTTATATAAACCAATTTATAAAAACTGTGCCAGTTGTTCCAGCAGTGAAGTATTTCTAATGGCATGTAAAATAGCAACAATAATATCCACATTCTTTATGAACTTGGCACCATATAAATTCACTCAAATAGGAAATTAAATGCTGACTTGCTGTACTGCAGTGTTTTTCACTGCTTCATCTTCCAGTGTCTTGAGGTCTTGAACTTGAGACTTGAAATTCTCTTCTGTTTCTCGACATTCTGGTTACACGTAACATATCCAACTTCAGTACTATGGTTTACCATAAATCTTCATCGGTTTGCCTTCCACCACACTTTAAATCATGTCATCCGACTAAACAAAAGTTAGCTTCATTTTATTCCTATTGTTTTCCATGTTCTTTAAGTTTGCTCCTCCAAACTATCCCTTGATGGAGAACTAAATTATTTAAAAGCAATAGCTGTTGACAGGGGCTTTTCACCCAACATTATTAATCAAGCAGTTGAAAAATTATCATCTCACACACCAAATGGCACACTCTTGTTTTATAATATATAAAATTTCTGTTGTCATTCCCTTCTTTCCATCAATTAGCTGTAAAGTTGCAGATATTTTACAGAAATTTAACTTTTGGGTCGTTTATTCTCCCATCAATAAAATTCCAAGTTCTATACTCAAGGACCCCATTCCGGATATGAATTCCTGGGCTATTTACAGGATTCCTTTCGAGTGTGGTTTAATTTACATTGATCAAACAGAGAGAGCCTTAAAATTTCACGTTAAGGAATATGAGGCATATGTTAAAAAAAAAAAAAAAAAAAAAGGAAACACAGAAGTCTTCTTTTGCCCCGCATTGTTGGTCCAAAAATCACACTTTTAATTTTTCTGCTGCCAAAATTATTCAAAAAACATCTTCCATTGGTGAACTGGATTTTCTAGAGGCATTTCACATTGAAAAAAAATCTTTCTGTTCTAATTAACGACCCTAATTCCAATCCATCTTTGCCGTCAGAAATTATGTTTTAGTTCTGGTTTCATCAATAGATGGCGCCAGTAGCTTGACTCCTGTCCATGTTATCTTATCTAATCACTCTATCTGATCTCGTTCATTTGCGCTTTTGCAGCTGAGGAGGATGGTTCGGTAAAACCATCGAAACTAGTCCTTTGAAAATATGAAAATTGACTTCTAAATTAATGCTTGTTTGGCATGTTATTGTATCTTAATTAATGTTATAAGTGTTAGAAAGTGTTTGATTTTGTAATTATTTTCTTTAGGCTGGTGGTGAAGCTCAGGAAGTCCTTTCTTGGAGACAAGGCCCTGTTAAACATCTCAAAATTTTGCCATCTCCTGAAATGAGTAAATATTTCAGAGTTTATATATATTCCACTGTTATTTGTTTACTATTTGAGAATGTTACATTGTATACCTGCATGGTTATTAATTAGCTAAATTTCTTCATTATTTGAAGAAATGTGTAAAAATAGTTAAGGCATGTTTGTAACTTTTATATTTCATGAAAGCAATCTTATGAATATTGTTATGAGCATACAGAAAATCTGTCCAAGATTTCTTATACAGATGATTTTATTTGTCATCAGTATGCCCTTTTTATGTACTGGACACAGAAAGACATCTGCCAAATTCTGATTCTGATGCAGCTGGAACTTTATGGCAAAAAAATGGGGAATTCTTGTTAACAAGTAAAATTTAGACTGATTAACCAAGTTTCCTCATTATCTGAAGAAATGTTAAATGTTCTTCAGTTTGAATTCAAACAAATTTCTTTAATTTCATTAAATCCAAAAACAATGATTCAGTTATTTGACAAAATATAAAACCTTTCACATTATTTAAAGATAATGGGGGATAGTTATTAACAAGAGGAACTTAACCTGATTAACGAAATTTCCTCATTATTTGAAGAAATATGTGAAAATAATTAAGGCAGATATGTAGCTTTCATATTTCATGAAAGTAGTCTCGTGAATATTGTTATAAGCATACAGAAAATCTGTTTAAAATTTGTTACCTAAATGATTAGCTTTTTGTTTTGGAAAGGCATAATATCTGCCATATTTTGCTTCTGATGCAGCTGGAACTTCATGGCAGGAAAACGGAGAATTGTTATTAAGAAGAATTTAAAGTGCGTTTTATATTTTAAAGCAGCAACCTGTATTACAAAACCACTTGTTGCCATTTTATTTTTAATTTCAGTGTCTAACAAATGATTCATGTCAAAATAGTCTACAGTAATATTCATTTTTTATTTTTAATTCCATTCTGTAACTATGTAAGGAATAATGCAGTATATAACTAATTATGACAGCATAATTTTCTTTGTTTTTATATAACATTAAATTCATTAAGCTATAAACTTTTTTATAATGTTTCATATATAGGTATAATTTGTTTAATTTGGAAAGGGTTGTTGTATCAGAGTTTTGCATTACCATAGACTATCAACGTTTTACTTAATCCAAACACACACACACACACATGACAGAATTTTTTTATAGGTAACAGACCTTGCCTATATACAGGTATAATTAAAGTTCCACTTTGAAATGGTTATAACAGGAAAACTACTGGACAAAATGTGAGATTGCAAATCGCTAACAAGAGCATGCGCATTCCGTAAATCGTTCTCTAATTTGTGATTTTTGAAGCCTGAATTCGCCTCTAATACATGCAGATATTGATTCAAAGCGTTTTAATTGTTTCTAAAATGAAACTGTTTGTGGGGTTATGCAAAGTCACATTGGATTACTTACTGTAACACTGTTTATGGTGATAATCTAAAAAATTTGGCAGAATTGAAAGAGGCAATACAGCGACATGTCCGCAACATTTCTCCTGATATACTAAGAGCTGCTGTTGAAAATGCAGTAGTACGATTTAAGTTGCTTTCGGAAGATGGTAAACCTGCTATGAACAACTTTTTTCAGAAACTAGTAAATACATTTTAAACTGATGTCTTCATCTCTTATTTCGTTTAACAGTATTGCATACAGCACCATTTTCCCCTCATAGTGAGTTTTTTAACTCTTTTTTTTTTCAGAAAATAAGTTTTCATGACTTCCTTTATACGATTACCAAGTTTGATAACATTTGGTCCAATAGTTTTCCTTTTATGACCGTTTCAAAGTGGAACTTTAATTATAACCACCCTGTATATACATGTTTAGAGAGCATGCAAGAATTATATTGCCAAATTTTTACCTCTTATACACAGTGATGTGTACAGATATTCTACATATTCATAGTCAGTATAGAAAAAGATAGTTCTGCATTTATTGTTAAGCATGTTTAAATATGTAACACATTCTGTGAATGTTTTTGGAGAGAAGTGATAAGTGATTTTGTATAGATCAGTGGTTTCCAACTTAAAAAAAAAAAAAAAAATTATTGGCACACTTGCTGAATTCAGAGTTTTCCAAGGCACTATATGTCAAGTACTGATAAGTACACCTTGCAAAATAGCCAATAATTTTTTTTTAGGTAAAAATCATTCAAACATATTTTAGACCACGAAACAGTAATCAAACAAGTTTTAGTAATTATATTAATTAATACGACGGATGCATTTATTGATCATGACGTATTTTCTCAAATCATGGAATTAAACTGGTCGCAGCCAATCTCATTTCTTTTTGAATATTGATTTGCATAGGATACTTAGTTTTTTCGTTGCAGCTGACATTAAAATTTTCTAAGATTTAGCGTTTAGGTGTGGATATTCATATTTTAGTGATAGCCAAGATTCAGTTAATTCCATGTTGCTAAATTCTGTTTTAATGTTCAAGAGAACTCAATTAGATTTTATTTGTCTTTCTTCTGCTGCAGCAAATTTAGATGGAGCAGTGCATCAAATGTATTGTAAATCCATGTAAACTTATATTCAATATGAAAATATATCTCAAGCCAGATGATGAGCTGTGATGATGATAAGTGCTCTTCAGAAACAGATTTCATGCCTAGAGAGAAATCAATTGCACTGGAGGTCAAGAATTGTTGCATCAAGAGAAAACACGTCTTGCCTCTATCTTCATTCAATTTCCTTTACTTGCAGATATTGAGAGATGTTTAAAAATGTCACAATCACATAACTATGTCGCATAAATATGCTAACTTAAAAAAAAAAAAAAAAAAAAAAAAAAAAACTCAAGTTAAAAGAAATCTTTAAGTCTAAAAGTATAACGAAAACTAAGCAATCTTAACTTTTGGTATACTTTTCTGTCTCCTGTTAAACTATAAATTTCTGTAAACTATCAATCAGAGGCATAGCTAGGGTTTTCAGTGCCTGGGAACAAGTGAAGATTTCACTCTCTCCTCTTGTTTGCCAAAATGCAATGGGGAAGGAAAAGAAAAAAAATTTTAACAGTAATATTTTAAGAAAAAATTACATATTTTAAATAGGTTTAAATTATTGAGCATATTAATTTTTTAAAGCTGTTTCAAGTGTATATTCTCAAGGTTTTACTAAATTTACAAAGTGAAATCAATAAGACAATAATAATAGTTTGGGAATTTGATTACTCTAAAATAGTATTTACATATAATGATGCAAAAACTTGAGCATTATGCTGGATATAATAATATAATATCCTGAAAATGAAGTTAGTATAAAGTAAATAAATAGTTTGATGTATATTGCTTTTAGTATAATTATTAACTTCAAAGAAAATTTTTTCTAACCTTTGCTGTTGCAAATTTATTGATTAGTTTATCATAATATGTACTGTGGGTAACCTCCTGCACCACTCTGAACAAAGCTACGGCTGAAAGACTTTGTCGTGTAATGTATAGGACAAGGTAAGGTAGGACAGGGTAAGTTTAATTTACTGAAAGATCTTTCACAACTGGTGAGGGAGGTTCCAGTAGTCAGTTAAAGCTGAAGACTTACTCTAAGGTTTGGAAATACGTTTTCACCATACTATACAAGTGAATGAAATTCTCTGGCATCGAAAAGCTAACATCAGCTCTTGTATTGAGTAGCATTCATCAGTCCCATTATTTCAGTAAACATCTGCAAGTCATCCAAGTCTGTATAACAAAAGCTTTCCAGGAAGATGTAGGAAATTCGGAATTAGTTTGAACTGTCCAGGCTCCTTGTGTGGTGGGGAAGGATAACTTTTCTTCATCTTATTTCCAAATAGAAAGTCATAGTTTTTCTCTTTCTTTTTTGCTAATCACATGACAAAAAGCAGGAAAAAGATATGCTTCTTCAAAATAGTGGTGTTATGGACTGAGTAAGCGAATGTTTTTCATTATGTTTTATTGCATTTAAGAAGGGAAAATACTTTTCTTTTGTAACATCAGTTTGACACCTGTGGATGCTTGCACCCAGGGACAGATGTGCCCTTTTGCCCCCCTGTATATGGCACTACATTAATATAAATCAAAGTTCCAATGTATAAACTATGAATCCAGTGTAAGAGACAAAATGCAATTCCACTGTAAGAGACAAAATGTGATCATAAGAAAGCCGTTGCAAGGAGCTTATATAAAGAAGTGCTGTTGAGGTCCCAAGATCTTGTGAATTTAATGCCTTCAGTGGCTGAATGTTTATAAAGTTTATTACATTCATTGAGCTATCTTTAGTACCATTTAGTGATACATTAGGTTTTCATCAGGTTCTGTTGATGTTGTGTCCTTAAGTCAAAGCATAAACATTTTCCTGTAATCATAAATTGCAATTACAGTGATTGTTTTCATCCATTTTATTGAATATTGAGCGCTGCCTGTTATGTATTTTATTCTATCAGCATTCACTTTGTTATATTTTGCTCATAAACTCAAATGCATGGTATCAATAATTTTGCTCATAAACTCAAATATGTCGTATCAGTCACTGCTGTTTAGTTTTCAAGTGTAAATATATCTTTATTAATATTGTGCAATGATATGATCATGTGGTAAAGCTAACATACAAAAGAACATACTTTAAGCTCATATAACATTGAGTCGGAAATGGAATTAAAGTTATGAATACTATATAATATTTTGCTTCACCCTAGAGAGGAAATAACAGCTCTGGAGCATTTGGGGACTCCTGGCATAGATGTTAGACGTGAATAATCTCAGGAATTTACGGTGTCTTTTTTTATATGCAGGTATCCTAAAAGGATTGGTACTCTTTCATTTTTTAAAGCAATAATTATTATAGGTACACATTTGTATATGTAATGTTTTAAGTCGAGAGTTTTAAAATATTAGTTTTAAAGATGTTTAATGTGAACTCATTTCATGATGTGATAAATATTCAATCCAGCTCTTCTTTTGCTCACTTTTTAGTACTTCTCCCTTTCAAAAATGGTTGTTTTCAGATGGCTGGGCAATGGCAACTTAATGCATTCATCAGCAATGACCAATACTCATCTGTCATTTAGGCATCTCATAATTGAGAACATTGCTTAACCTTTTCGGAATGGGCATCCCATGTATGCATTCCCTATGAATGTCTGTCACAGATGGACGTTCCACCCATGCATCTTTGGAGAATGTGCTCAGGTGATGAGTGATGCATTTTAAACTGAACCATTTTTTAAAGACCACTGCATACCATCCTGTGTTCATTAACCCCTTCGCGCCGACTGACACGTATACATGCCAGCAACGAACGCGCTTACCTACTGGCCGACACACAGGCGTGCCAGAGGATTGTTCCATTCTCTACCGATTGTCACGTATTTGTGCCAGTACTTTGGAACGTTTTTCAAACTATAATTTCTGCCACAAGATGGCACTGTATGTCCATATGGTTTCAGATACATGTAAATTAGACCTTCTACTCGAAATGAGAGAAGCATGACTCACATACACGTGTTTTTGATTATATAAACAAACGGGGAAATAAATGTTTCCGAATGGCGTGATTTATGACGTCTCTTTAAATCGCACTTTATTCGCACGTGGTAGTTGTTTACTGTAAGTAGAGAAGTTTTATTTGCTCTAAAGCATTGGGTATTTCGGTTTGCAGTTCAGTTTTTAGAAAATAATTAGATCTTGTTAGACGTGAAATCTTTGTTTTTACCGTTGCAATGTCGAAGCGTCGAAAAGGTTTAACAGAGCATGAAATAGCAGAAATGATGCAGAATATTTCAGATATTGATTCTGAAATTCTGATATTCTGATATTGATTCTGAAAGCTTAACTGAAAGACATTTTCCAAAACTTTGTTCAGAAGAGACCGATAAGAAAATGAGACGACGATGCTTCGTTTGTTCACATTCCCGGAAAAATCCTCCAAAACGGCAAATGAGTTATTACGAGTGCAAGGAATGTAATGTAGGACTGTGTGTAGATCCCTGTTTTCAAATTTTTCATACGAAAAGAGAATTTTAAGTAATATATTTAGTTTTCAGATGTGTAATGTTAAAATTCATAAAATGGTGAGTAATTAAAATAAAATGTGTAAAATATGCATTTAAACAAGAAATAAGGTAATTAAAGTATATATATATAAATATTTATAAAGCATAAGTCGTTTAAATACTCTATAGAGCATTATTAAACAATGCGGTGATACTTCGGAAATTTCATGGATTTAGGCTTAGTAGCAAAAAAAAACCCCGGCCCTGGAGAGACGCTCGCGTAAGACACTGCCGGCCTCAGCGATAAGCGCGCGTTTTCGCTACCCGGCTCGAAGGGGTTAATTCTGAACTGAACATAGTTTTAGATCCTGACCTTCAGTTTGATCACATTCTGCCTAACTTTGAAGTCTGCTGTAGTGGTTGAGGAGGGGAAGTATGATGTAAACAAACAGAGCTCTGCTCTTTAACTCGCCACATATATAAATATTCATGTTTCTGGTATCCCTTCAAATGCTTTTTTTCACTACTATGTTGGATCTTTTAGGATTACTTTGTGGGGTTCTGTTACACTTTGCATTGCTTTTGTCACTTATATTTCGTATGCTTTCTTTTTTTATTTTGGAAAGCTTTGACTCCTGTTTATTATGGTGAGCAAGTATTATTTATCAGAGTAAGGTTATACTCGCATAGTATATAAGTCAGTTAGTGAAATAAATGATAGTGATGATTCATATTCTAAGGAGTTAGAAAGCAGTATTTCTGATGATGCTGATACAGACATTTTATGAGAGACCGAGCTCAATGAGAGTCTACCTTCCACTTCCCGTGAAAGATTTGTTATTGCTTCTAGTAAATAGTTTTCCTTGTAATTGTTTTGTTAATGTATTTTGTAAATTAAAACTTTGGAATAATTTGAATACCACTTCTGAAAATATTAGTTCTCAAAGTAAGCCCCTTTTTACTTCCTTGTACGAAGTAAAAAGGAAGTATTGTAATCCCGAAAAGTTTCAGGCAGCATATTTCAACGAAAATATCCATTTTGACCGCTATCGAATGCAATTTAACGATGTTTTTGTGTGATATCTGTACGTAAGGACAGAATAAAAAACTCGTTTCCTCAAAAAAAAAAAAAAAAAAAAAAAAAAATTATAAAACTGCTTTAAAATTAATTCTGAAGAGAATTTTTCATGGCGTCTGTACGAACATATGTACCTCGCATAACTCAAAACCAAGTAGCCTCAGAACGTTGCAATTTTGTATATAGGACTGCTATAACATGTAGATGTGCACCTCGTATTTTGGTTGCAATCGGCTGCACCAAACGTATATTTATATAAATATCCACTCTGTTACCCGGCTCAGTGATCTCAGTTTCTTTACTCTTATATGTTTGTTAAATTGTACATTTTTTGCTTTAAAAATGATTGCATTATGTTGTTTTTATCTTCTGGTTAAGGATTTTATGCCTTTAGTAAATCTGTGTGCAATATTTTTTGAATTATCAGCAATTTTAAAGTTGTTTAATTGCTGTTAAGCCTTTTTTTAATGGCAGCCATTGATGTTTACATTTGAAACAGGAGACTAGTGGATTTGTTGCCAATCTAGAGAAACTTAGCTTCGCAACAACAAAGATAACGCATTCATTTATTATTGCCAATTAAATCATGCTTAATTCTTTCTGGAATTTTTTCGAGGAAATAAGTGTTTGAGATTTACTTCGTAATTTTTAATATAGATATTTTGAGTTTTTATGTATTTTTGCCTTCTGAGAACTGAATTATTCACTTCAATCGTGTGAATAAATTTGTGCAATTTTTGCTTTTTATGTATGAATTGTGCAACTATAATTCTATTTAATATAACAGTTATAACTTAGTTTATAGTTAAACCTATTGGTTATATAATTATATAAGTTAACTGTTATATAATTATTATATAAGTTAACTGTTATATAATTATTAATACTGTTAAGTGAATCTAGCGCCAGAGTGTCACTATGGTAAACAAATACTAGAGTGAATTTTAAAGGATGCATTTATTCTATTGTAGTTTATGCGCTGTCGGCGAAGTAGATTTAATTCAGTCGTATAAGTTTAAATGAAATACAAGAAAAAAAGCGTATAATTTAATATTCCAATACAAGGAAGTCATGTGGTGTACACATCAGATTGTTTTTATCTATATTTTCATGTAAACTAAAGGGAAAAGGTTATTAAATGCTAATTTTAACATATTAACATATATGATGGCTTTGTGTGGGGTGATTCCTTTCAATTCTCATCCGTGCCAAAGGAATACCTTAAACAAAGGCATGATATCTCGAAAGAGTTAAAGTGCACCACAAGGGGGACCAATTTTACACTTATGTCAGCGTTCTAATTTTTATCTAGAGCATCCTGAGGGAAGGGTTCCAAGGTGCTTCACCTTTCCTTCCCTACCTTCAAAAATTCCTTCAAAATAAAAAAACTTTTTCAGTTTCTCTGTTTATTTGTATATGCATTCATGTTTCATGTGTTCCATTTCTGAATGCAGTGCCATTGTAAAATTAAAGCACTTGAAATCTTTTGATCTGAAAGACCTCATATAAGCTTTGTAGCAGAGAATGAAGAATGCAAGACCCTCAGATACCGTTCAAAGGGTCTTGCATCCTTTATTCCCTCAGATACACCCTCAGATACCATTCAAAGGGTGTTTATTCTCAATCAAAATTAGGATAAATGAGTGGATATCCTTTTGCATGCTTTGCCTTAGTAAAATAATTGACTGCAGTCTAATATTCATCAGTGTATGAAGGCATTTTATGGCACCCTATATTTTTAATTTCACTGAATGCTTAGTGTTTCATTTTCTATTTAAAATATTATGTATGACCTTTATTTGTGAAAACCAGCTGTATGGAACTAGATGTAAATTTATCAATATTAATTTCAGTATCATCTGTTAAAGACCGTTTTTCAGCGAATCGTCCCTTAGTTGCAATATGTGATAGCACTAGGTATGTATAAGACATTTCTTTAAAAAATTATACATAACTTTATCGTATAATATTCATACATATTTTGAATTTTTGCAACTTAAAATTGGCTGTGTATATTTATGTACACACGCATATGCAATTGACCGTTAAAGGTCCTTACGCAGCCATTATTTTTTTAACCATTCAATGTAAAAACATATTTCCAGTTACTAAAATGTTTTATATAAGACATTATTCATGTTTTGAGATTTTTTAAATTAAAAATTCAATTTTACGGTTGTTATAAAATATAATTCTTTGTATGGTCTCTTGGTTCCTATAGCTATTGTAAATGCTATATTTAAGAAAATTTTATGTTCGTTCTGAAAAATAAAAGATGAAATTTTTGGCTTCTACTTAATGAAAATGAACAATATATTTAATTTTAAAGTTTAAGATCATATTTTCTAAAAAAATATAGAGACTGTACATAAATGGAATTAATTTGTATATAATTAAAAATGAAATATCATTTAAAAAAACGCTTTCTAATGTTAATAGAGTTTATAAGCAGATGATTCTGAAAAGTTTTAATAACTTTTTTTTACTGAAAGGAGGATGTATTGTCAGAATCTGAAAGAATTCATGTTCTAGGAAACATAGCCAACTTATAACATTATTTGCATAAATAAAAAATATTCCTGCTTGTATACGTTCATTTGTATAAATTTGTATGACTATTAGATTATCATATTAAAGTAATAAATTCCGTGTGGTTGTTTTGAACATATTTTCAACATTTGAAAACTTCTAAACTAATTGGGTGAAAATGTTTTACCAGGCTATCAGATGTAACAGAATTGTAAATTAAAGAATGTTACATGCTAGTCAATTACAAAGGAGTATCATTGAATGACATTAAATAGAAAGAAATTTTTAGCTGACCCCTTAAAAAAAGGTTATTGTGATTGCTTTGTAGCATTCAAAAGTCTGAAAAAATATTGGTGATGGGGAAGACCCAAACTCTAAAATTAAACATATTTATCAATTTTTGTTGTACAGGCAGCAAACTCTTTGTGTTTTATTTTTTTTAAAATGATTATGAACTTTTATTAAATATAACTGGAACAAGTAACCAGTACAGAAAGTCATATTTTATAATTTTTACAATATAGACCTTTTAAAATTTAAAATACTGTAGTGTGAATATATTTAAAATTAATTTATTATTTAAAATATTTTTTTGTAGTTAAAAATATATATCTATGAACAATGCAAAAATAAAGACATTGTAAGCACTTATTATGTACTTCTAGACACAATGTCTATTTATGGTATATAAACGCAAGCTAAAATTTAAAATTGGAAGGTAATGGGACAACAAACAAGCAGTTTAATTTAATTATTAAGATATTAATTTTTTAGTCTTGCTGAATTGTTCAGTTGTTAGCTCAAAACAAGCTATGTTTTTTGCATTTCATGGAAATAAAAATGCGTGAGACATGTAAAACCTCTTTTTCATTTTTTGATGATCTTTTACATTTAAAATTCTCTTTCTTTAGTTCTCAGTTGTAGTTACATTTAATCTGCAATATTTTAATTTTTATCTCTGTTGTATGTGCATTAATGTTTTTTCTTGGTATTTCAATGGAATATGAATTTAAAATTAATACTAGATTTTAAAATTACTGTCACCCTCCCTCTGTTTGTATTTATATATGGCATTTATAAACCAAATAATTTTTTTTTGTATTTTCTAAAGTAATTCATTTGTTTATATGTAACTCCTATAAATTTAAAAGTATTTCTGTGTTATTTTTCTAGTGCTGGCGAACAATTCTGTTCTGTAAATTTCATATCACTAAAGACTGGAGATAGAGTTGAATGCTTAAAATTTTCAAATCAAGTTGCTGATATAAAATGTGAAAAAAGGTAATTATTTTCCCCTTGCAAAGAATGTTATGGTAGAAGTTGTCCAGTAAAATATACTTTTGTAATTTTGTGGTGGGAATAAATATAGGTCAAATATGAACTGTGATACTTTTTTCTCTGAGATATTTATAAATATCATTTAAATTAATGCTGCCTATGTTACGAATTATTTGGACCACAATTTATATAGCTAAGTATTAGTTTTGTGACTATAAATTTAGTGAAGAAGGTAAAATTTCACAATTTTTATTTAACAAATTTAATTTGAATTGGATTAAAGAAAAGCAATTCTGTCATATACAGTACATAGTCCATAAAAAAGCATTTCTGTCATATACAGTACACAGTATATATAGTCCGGATTTCGGACTATCTGGTTTGGTCGGCACTTCGGCAATTCCGGATTTGGGATTTTTCCAGATTATAGATCATCAGTTTAAATTTGGTAAGATGGCATGCAGAAATTATACAATTAAAAATATAAAAACGTAATTTATGAAATAAAAGAACAATTATGATCCAAAGGGTATCAAATTTACAAAAAAAAAAAAAAAAGTTTAATATTTATTTGTTTACTTTATTAAAATTTCTTTCAATGTAAGTTGTTTAAGATACTTCCACAAAAAGTTCAAAAAGTTCCTTTTTCTTATTTTCTTGAGTCATATACAGTGGACATTCCAATGCCATACTCCTCACATAATTTTGAGACGGATATGCCTTTATCCATTTTTTGCAGCAATTCTACTTTTTTGTTTAATGGACATTGAAACATGGTTTCACTTTGTAAATCCTTTAGCAACTCCAGAATTGGAAACTCTTTTCGACATAAGTTTCAAGCTTAGTTTTTATAAAATTTTCATAGTGATATAACAGTCTGCAAAAAATAATAAGCTGGACCAAATTAGAAGATCAGGGAGCAGTGCAGTCTGCTACATTAATTGAAATGCCTTAAAATTAGTAAAGGTAATTTTAGCCTAGCTTAATAGCATCTGTTATACATTATTGGCTGTGTATCACAAGATTGGCGACGAAAGCCAAGTTGTTTCGCTAAATTATGTCTTGCTCCTATTGTGACTGAATTAAACCTGAATTGTATAGTTATTTGCTATACCTATGTTTACTTCTTGCATATGCTTCAAACTAATCAGAGTCCTGAATAAATAAACTCCCACATATACTTAAGGCTTTATCTAGGGCTGGCGCTTGATACCGCCTGGTGCAGTCTCTGTGGGTCCTAAATTCTGCTACAAAGCGCTTTCCTAAGTTCTAAATTTTCACCGTGCCTAAACTTTGGATCCCAGTGCTTTCCCTAAATCATAAAACTTCTCATCCCTTAATTTTGCCACTTGATGCTTTCCCTAAATTCCAAAAATGTCTTCCTAAATTCTGCCGTCTGGTGCCGACATATTCTGCCGCCGCTTCTGGGTTTATGGTGAATAATATATCAGTTATTCTTAATTAAAATAGCACTAAATGCAATCTTTTCGCCTATGAGTTTCATTAACAAAATCTATTTATAGCATATGAAAAGAAATTTTTGTTGAATTTTTTCTCGTCAACATTTCTTAGAGCATTTAAAAATCTATAATCATCGCGAAGTGTAATGTTAGCATAAAAGGTTGCCATACTCTTGTTATCCAATTACTAATATAAAAAAAAGTTTAGACATCACACATGAGTTATTACTGAAGCTGTCATGTATTGATAAACATGTAGTAATGAAAGCAAAATATAATAAACAATGACCAGCCAGATCGGCATCAGGGATATAAAATAGGTGAATATTTTGGTTTGAGATGTATGCCAAGTAGATACTCAGCTACGGAGCCAAATTATTAATCTCGTAAATTTATGTTTACATGATTGTTTTTCCATAACGAGGTATTTTAAGGTGCCTAAGTGAAATTAGGAATTGGAATTTTTAAGTGAAAATCTCCGCGTTTTATTATAGAAGGAAAATTCAAATGCGCATGCATAAAGCATTATTAAAAAAAATGTTTGTGACTTTGAGGTCCGGATTTTAGATCATTCCGGATAATGGATGTCTGGATTTTGGACTTTGTACTATATTTGTTGAAAATGTTAATGTATTCATTAATTATGCTTTTATCTTAGGTAAAGGAGGTTTTGAAAGAGGGTTAAGTATTGAAATACAGATTTTCCCAGTTTTTTAAAAGTAGAGCATTTTCTGAAACCTTTCGCAAACCGAAAAAGCTGTTAACATTAATTTTATCGAAAAAGGCTTTTAAAGTTTCCAAACCTTCAAAATAATCTGTCAAATCATACTAAACATCTCTTAAAATCTAAATTAATAATAATGATAAATAAATTATAACATATGTATAGGATATAGTATCATCTAAAACTGAAAAAAGAGAATGCGTACTAGAATCTGTAAATGTAACAGTGATGATGGTCTGTTGGCCCCTTGGAGTTTTGTCTGTGGTATCTTCCACTAGGACAGAACAAACAAAAATAAGCTATTTATTTATATCATATTATCATTTGTGTTTATAAGGCTATTGTCTACAATATTGATGCTTCCTGGATCTAATGTTGAATATTCGAATTAGTTGTGCCTGTTTTGGAAAGAGCTTGAAATAAGGTTGGATGCTTGACTGCAAAGACTGAATGTTTAATGATGCATGCTGCTTCTGTTTCGGGAGGGTAATATTACTACTACAGGCTGTTGTAAAGAGTATTTCCTTTGTTGGGAAATACCCTCATCATCTGTAGTTTTCCTTGCAACCTTTAAATTTTGGTGCTCTGCAGTTTTTATATCTCTTAAATCTGTAGTTTCCGTTTTCGTCAATTTCCCAGCAGTAATCATTTTGAAGCTTTCTTTGAATATTTTACTTTCACACTTTTTGAAGGTATAAATTCAGAAAATATAGTTGTATAAATTCGAAAAATATAGTTCCTCTTTCTTCGTTAAATTTATATTGTCCAGTGTACTTTTTAAGGTAAAATTTTGAACTTCTGAATTTTTATGTATGTTGTAATTCTCCATACTTTCTAATTATTTGCACCCTCCCTTATCATTGGTCACTAAAGTTTTGCCAAGCTAAAGTGTGAAAGGCAATAATCATTTTCAAAAATGGCAGTAAACTTAAGAATTATATAAAACAGCAACAAATTATGAAATTAAAAATACAAGAAACATCCATTATAAAACACTTTTTTCCCCCTTTTGTGCTATTTTCCCCATATACACAGCAATCTGTTTTAGTTTACAAAAAAATCAGAGAATTGCAGAAACTCACCTTCACACCATAGCATTGCACGCACTTTCTCTCTTTGTACACAGCAATCTGTTTTTGCTTAAAAAACATCAGAAATTTGCACAAATTTTTCATTGTGTGAGCTGTTGTTTTCCCTTGTACACATCAGTCAGGTTTTGATTAAAAAAATCAGTAACTTTTACAAATTCAGCATAAGCCTGAAAATTTTGATCCATAAAATTTGTTCTGTTACAAAGGACTACACCTTCATGGAATGAGAATTTTTGTATTTCCTGCTATGCGAAATATGCTACACTTTATTTCTGAAGAAATGCAACACTTTGTTTTTTATCAGCTTGCAGACTGCACAGTTCCATTGATTCTTCACAAGAGAAAAGTGCACTCTGTGCATTAAAAATAAACATTAATGACTATCATCAATGTAACAAAATAAAACACTAATGACTGGGATTTTGTCTGCTGCATACATGTATGCACACAGCTGGGTAGCTACATAATTATATATCTTGGTGATGCTTATTTTTGACGACATAGCATATTGTCTTATTAATACTTTTCAAGGGAGACAGATAACCAGAAAGTACTTAATTTTCTGTTACTCAATTATCCTCAGTTCATATGCAAAGCTTTTCCTATTTTCTGTGTGACTGACATTTAGAAATAAGCAGAACTTTATTTATGGAAATGAAGCAGCCTGCAGCAAAAGAATGTTGATTTTCTGTTTTTTGCCTTTATGTTCCTTTTTCTTACATCGTTTGAATATTAGAGTTTTTTGCAATGTGGTGTATTTTTTCTCTTTTGAAGATAGTTAAAAATGTTTTTATATATTTATTTTTATTAATATGAAGTGTCTTTCCTGCAGTTTTTTAAACATTTTCATAGAGAAAATTGCAATTTAATTCATACACACACACCAAGTAATATTATAAGCTATACAGTACAAAGTCCGTAATCCGGACTCGACGGGACTTCGGCGATTTCGGATTAGGGGTTTTTCCGGATTATAGATCATAATTTAAATCTGGTAAGATGTTATGCAGAAATTATACAATTAAAAATATGAAACAGTAATTTACAAAATAAAGAGCAATTATGATCTAAAGGGTATCAAAATTTACCAAAAAAAAAAAAAAAAAAAAAAAAAAAAAGCTTAATATTTGTTTGTTCTAAATTCACTTCTAAATTCCACACTGTGCTCACTTCTAAATTCCAAAAACTCACACACCAGTCGGATAGTCCCAATTATCTAGCTGATCTTCCCACTGTAAACGTTAACTCCATCGTTAATATCTCCAATAGGAATCTTTCGGAGGATCAGTTAAAAGTATTAAAATATAATTTCAACTTTTCAAAGACATCTAAACCTTCAATTCCTCAAATCATCGCCCCTATAGAGAAAGCCTTTAAATTCTCCAAAATTTCGGAAACGCAGAAGGATACAATCCGCCACCTAATTACTCATAACGTTAATTTTAACAATAAATCTTTGGGTTCTAATCTTAGCAAAAAGGAAAATGAGATCTTACGTGAAATTCATTCTAATACTAATATCATTATCTCTAAAGCTGATAAGGGCGGACAGATCGTTGTTATGGACAAACACACATATATTACTGGAGTCCCTAAATTGATAAATGAAGGCCCATACTGCTCGATCCCTAAAGATCCTTCAACTTCGGACCTCATGAAAGTAAAAAGTGCTATTAAATCTTCCCACATTCTGCCAACTCAGTTGAAGAAATCACTTTTTCCGCCTATTACTAATTGCGCTAGACTTTATGCTCTTCCAAAAGTCCACAAAACCGGTATTCCTTTTCGACCAATTGTTTCCAACATAGGTACTGCTTCATATCCTTTGGCCAAATATTTAGTTTCCAGATTTTCTCCTCTACTTGCTAACAATATTCACACTGTAAAAAATTCTGTTGAAGTCATTGATAAACTTAAAAATATTTCCCCACTTCGTTCCATTATGGTTTCATTTGATGTCAAATCATTGTTTACTAATGTTCCGGTCGAAGGGGCACTAAATTGTCTTGAAACTAGGCTTCGGGAATTTCACTTCACACATACTGAAATTAATGAGTTGGTTTCGCTTACTAAAGTTTCTCTAAGTCAAACCCACTTTGTTTTCCAAAATACATATTTTCGTCAAGTTGAAGGATTGGCTATGGGTAATCCTCTCAGTCCGGTACTTGCTGACATTTATATGCACTATTTTGAGATGAAATTATTTGATAAATTATCTTTTCGTCTTTGGATTCGGTATGTTGACGACACTTTCGCACTTTTTGACGGTTATAAAGAGGATTTATCCGAGATTCTATCTATTATGAATTCAATTGATCCAGCCATCCAATTCACTCTTGAAATTGAATCCAACAATTCCCTCCCCTTCCTCGATATTCTTATAATCCGCAATGAAACCGATTTTAGCACCACTGTGTACCGTAAACCCTTTGCAGTTTGTTTACCATCCCATGCCAAGTCATGCCACCCTGTTAAGCAAAAAATGGCTTCTTTTTACTATTATGTTTTCCGCGCGCTAAAAGTTTGTTCCTCTGAATCTTTGCTTACCAATGAACTTAATTATTTGAGAGCAGTTGCGATTGACCGTGGATTTTCTCCCGTGATTATTGATAAAGCCGTCAAAAAAATTTTCAGATTCCCATCAAAGTAGACATTCCACTGTTAGAAATAATATCAATGACCTTGTCGTGCTTCCATTTTATCCTTCTGTTAGCTATAAAATTGCACGGATTCTCCAGAAATTCAATTTTCAAGTCGGTTTCTCCCCTATTAATAAAATTCACCCTTCGATTCTAAAAGATTGCGTTTCTGTCTTGAATTCTTGGGGAATTTATAGTATATCATGTCAGTGTGTTTTAAGATATATTGGCCAAACAAAAAGAGCGTTGAAGTTTCGTATCAAGGAACATGAATCTTATGTCAAAAAAGGGGAAATTAACAAGTCTTCAATAGCGTATCATAGCTGGACTTTTAACCATAATTTTGATTTTGGGTCTGCAAAAATCATCCAAAAGGCTTCTTCCATAGGCGAATTGGATTTTCTTGAGGCTTTTCACATTCAGAAAGATTTAGAAAGTTTAGTTAATGATTTGAAGTCCAATCCAGTCCTTCTAATGCCTTTAAAATTCTACTATCTTAATTCAATTATTTTTGCCGATAGATGGCATTACCTCCTCGCGCTTGGTACTACCAGAGGGCATAAAAATCCGTTCAGTGGTTGCTTTCCATTATTTGAAGTTCAGATTTTGAGCGTAATGTGCATTTGCCCCTCGCTCCCTATTTTAACTTCGCTAATATTTCTTTATGCTTGATCAGACAGCCTGGCTCAGTAAAAGTAGGCGGCCAGTGCAACTCTGATTAAAAATCTAGTTATGACCACGTGCAGTGCTGATAAGCACTGCGTGTTTCTGTGACTCCTTCTCCTATTTTTCTTCTTTCTATGTATTTCTTTCTCCTGATGAGGAGGGACCTTTAGCTGCCCTCGAAATCGATTGAGTGTTTCATTATACCTACGCTAAATATAAGGTTGTTTTTTACGATTTTGATTGTCACATTAGCGTGTTTCTCTTCTAGTCTAGTCTTATTTGTTTGTTTACTTTATTAAACATTTCTTTCAATGTAAGTTGTTTAAGTTGCTTCGTTTTTTGTGCTAATACTTTCTCTTTAATTCTATAAACAGACATAATTGCTTGTTCAGTTACAAAGTTCCACTGTTCAAGTCCTGTAATTGCTGTGTCGAGAATACCGACTAACTTGTCAATCGAAATTTTTTCGTTTTCAATAACCTCTCTGTCACTTTCTTCACTATCGGAAGCACGCATTAAACGTGCATGCGTAAACGCATTACACGCATGTGTAAAGCATAAAAAAAAAGTTTGTGGCTTTGAGGATCATGATAGATTATTCTGGATAATGGACGTCCGGATTACAGACTTTGTACTGTATTAATAGTTTTTTCTAAAGAATTTATTAATGCATATTTTTCATCTTGTGTCTAACTCACGGCTGAGTAGTGAAATTGCTGGACACTGTTAATTTGGTCTGGGTTTTAAATCCCAATGAATAGGCTGGCTGCAGGGCACTTTCTTGGTTTTTCCCATGTATAACATGTACATGAGCCAGTTTCTCTTTGAAAGTCCTCTATGAAGGCATCCCTGCTCTTAGGTAGATAGCCCTCGAGTGCTTTGCCATAATCACATAAACAAAACTATGTTGTGTATAAAGTAGTTTAAATCTATATAGATTAAGAAATGGATTCATTATTTGGTCCACCAAAACAAAAAAAAAAAGCTATGATGCACTGGTAAGTCATCATAGGAGGTTTGCCTTTTGACATTTAAAAGATTACTGGCTTGCCTAATTTTATGAGTTCATATAATGTGAAGATTGTTCATTAAAGTCCATCTCAAACTGAAGAGCTTTATTGGAATTATATTGAAAATGTCACTAGAGGTCTAATAATTGTGATGTAAATTGTTTATAAATAATTTCTTTTTAATTTAAATTACCTTTAGACTGCAAGAGAATAAAATGCTTTTATTGCATTTAACCTGTACCTAATGTGTGTTGTTTCTCATGAAATATGAAGTTTATTCAATTGTTTGTAAGCTGGTATGTAAAACTAGTAGATAATGAATGTGATTAACAGAGGAATTATCATTTGCTTTGTTCTAATTAATTAACTAACCAATCTACTAACTGACTTTCTTCCTACTAGCCGAAAATTTATTAATTTTTTATTGCTGAACCAGTAAGACTGTGCCTTTTTATCTAATGGTGTTTCGCATACTTCAGTTATTCTCTTTCTGTAGTTCTGTTCTCTCTGTCTTTGGTTGAATAATAATTTGCTCTCTTTAGTTGAATAATAATTTGAGTACATATTTTTTAAGAATCTTCAATATATTTTAATTACAAGTTAATCCTCTAGGCATATTTAGATTATATATTATCTTAAAACACTTTTTGTCAATATTTATATTTAATATTAGCAGTTAATTTTTTATTATTAACTGTGATTTCTTTTGAAATTAATATGATATGGAGTATATGATATCACTGTGTGTTGTGAGAATTGAAAATTGATCGAAATTGCTTGACCCCCTCTTACTTTGAGGATATTATAGTAAAATCATTAGCAAAATTAATTAAGTTATAATCATTGTCTTGATGGGTGTAGCTTATATAATGTACTAATAATATATTAAGTGTAGATGTTGATCGCTTTGTAAATATATTTTATGAACAATTATTTTCCTAAATTGAAATCTTCTTATTTTGCAATTATTTATCTTCAAACTTCTACATTTCAAATAAATTAAACTTTCTTGGAAAGGTAATAAAGGGTTGTTTTCTTTACATAAAAGTTATCAGTTTTGTTTAAGAAGTGTATTGATAATGCTTGAACAAATAAATATATATATATATTTCAATACAAAATAATCACAATATATTTTCTATGTAGGATGTTAGCTGTAATTTTTCAGTCAAGGATAATTGTATATGAAGCTTGTAGTTTCAAAGAAATGTTAGTGGTGACCAGTGAGTATAAATATTTTTAACAGAATTTTGCTAGTTTTTCTTACTTAAAGATTTTTTTTAGTACTTTCTGATTGTCTGCATCCCCATGAAAAATTGTGAATTTGTTGCCGGCTTAGGAGAGCGTTCGCTTTGGAGAGCGTTGGAGTTAGTTTGCCAACTAATGTTTCACTAACGTAGTGTATGAAAGGCTACAGACATTTTCAAAATAGCTCCAAGCTAAGAATTCCATGCAAGGGCAGTCAATTAATAAAATTTAAAAAGGAAAAAATATTGTTAATAAAATGCTAACCTTTTTTTTAAGAAAGTCTTTTTTTTTTTCTTTTTTTTTTTTTTTTTTCCCCCATGTGCACAGCAATCTGTTTTCGCTTTGAAATGCATCAGGGAAATGTGCAACTTTGGCATCTTACAACTTCAGCATTGCATCTGGCCGAAACAAACATGTGCCATGTGCATATATAGGCTTCTTTTTTGTGCTGTTGTTTTCCTTATATACACAGGGATCTATTTTCTTACAAAAAATTCTGAGACTTGCTCAAATTTGGCATCTCACACCAACAGAAAACAGATATGTGCTGCGCACAAACCTGGGGTGCCACATAAATACTTTTGGGGGATTTCATGTCTTGCCTTATAACTATTTTGATGAGAAAGAATATTCATGTGTAACGTTTCAGTGGGGGTGTGAAAGCACCCATTTTTTCCAAATGTAAATGCTGAGAGATAGAAAATAGGTAGCAAATGTAATTATACTTAAGCTGCTTTAACATTATTGTTTTATTTGATAGTTAACTTGCTTCAGCCAGTTTTTTTATTTGGCAGTGTATTCTTTGTTTTGGGATGAGAAGATTTAAATTTACATGCATTCATAAGTGTTTTGCTTTACTTAGGTTGTTACACAAGTCCAAGTATTACAGTTAATCCAGTGGCCCTGGGAACTAGATGGCTTGCATTTGCTAATAAAAAAGTAAGTTTTATAGTTTTATTGTATATTTATTTTATGTTTGTTCTTAGTTCTTTATCCATTTCTGTTTAGGTTCTATCTGAATTCTAGGGCATCTTTGTCTTTCCCTTCCTTCTGTATAGTTTCTGTTTAATTTATGTTTCTAAACTGGCCTTGGAAATTTTTACTGGTGTATTATCCCATTGTAATATAAATACACATTAAAAGTTGCATTATATAGTCTGTATAAAATGACAGAAACTATGTTAATTGTCTGATTTAATACTTAAATTTACTTTACTGACTGTAAAAAACTGATTTTATTACTTTACTGAAGTTATTATTGACTTATTTTTTCTAGTTATTTATTTTTTTTATCATTTATTATTTTACAGACTTTAAAAAATAAAATTTCATCCTATGCAGTTCCATGTTTATTTTAATTTTTTGTCATTTTTTTAATCGTAAAAAAAATATTCCATCAGAAAGCTTAATATTTTTCTTTTACAGTAGCATTGTATGTGAAGAAATAAAATGATGAAAATTGCTGTTTACTTAATAATTTTTTCCATGTTTTGATTTCTCATTCTATATTTATGCTACTTTGAGAGGAAAACTGAAAATAATTATTAAAATACTGCAACTCAGATTTGAAAACTTATGAAAATATTTATTATATAATAATATTTCTTCAAAATTTTGTTGGATATTTCAATAAAATGTTTTCTTATCAGTGTATTTGGAATGTATTTTATTTCTCAGAAAATGTGCTTTATGTTTTATTTATTATGAACATTATGCATTATTATTCATTATGAAATAAATATTTCAAAATGTACTTATATAATCTTAAGCATTCATATGAATGTATTTCATGTTTTCTTCATTTAGTGGTTTGATGTTATTTTGCATATTTTTAGCTTATCTCAGTACATCAGAGTGGTGGTGGGATGGCTGGAGATGGTGTACATTCTTATGCTGCAACCATTATACATGCTGCAAAGGTGTGTAACAAATAATTCCAAATGTATTTGCATCTGCATATTCAGTAACGGTTTGTTTTCTGTATTTAAACAAACATGTCATTCTTCATTTCCTATGCTTATTTTTATATGTGTGTTATGCAAATGATGCAGCTATTGTGGACTGCAGAGTTTTCAGTTTGTTAATTCAAAACAATACCACATACACTGTTAAAGACAAATTTACAAACTGTACAATACAATAACTTGTAATGGTTGCTTCGTACTCTTCCATATGCTTGAAATAATATAGCTAGTTCCCAGAATTCATATATGGTACAAATTTTAATCACTTTTTTGTTTTTGTTTTAATAAATAATAAAATGTCATAATTAGTTTCGATGTAAAATTTTTTACCCTTTTCAATTAAAGGTCTCTCGTTTATGGATAAGTTCGTGTAAATATATGTTAAGCCTTTATCATATTTTTACTGAACTAATCCATGCTCTTAAATTATTGGTCTTCAGTTTCTGAAATACAGATATTACTGAATAATTGCTACTGAAATGCATAAAATGTGTCACACTGATATTCGCCCCAAGATCATTACCATAATTTTCTATGAATCATTTTTTCTCTAAAGTCATTAGAAAATGTGACAGTTTTTAAATAAAATTATGGAATGGAAAATTTTCCTGTTTTCTTTCTGCACTTTATGCAAAACTATTTTTTTATTCTAATCTTACTTCAATAATTTTATTTAAATTATATATTTTTTCACTGTCAAAATTTTACATTCTTATGTCCCTTCCCCTGCTTATTGTGGTATTTTCATGCAAATATGAACATTTACACACATAGAAGATTAAAATGTATTATTTTTATTAAGAGTTATGAATGATACTATTTTATTTGAAATTTCATGAAGCAAAATTATATTGCAGCATTTATACATTTTTGCGAGTTGTAAAATCAGTAGCTGCATGATTAGATTTTTGAGGTGTTTTATCTTATTGAATGCATTTAATAGCAAATAAATAGCATAAATATGATTTCTTTCCTACACATTATGAATGAATGATTTAGTTTCTAATAGTGATATATATTTATTAGACAGGAAAATTGTTAGTAAAATTACAATTTCAAACATATTAAAAATATTATAAACAATTGTATTTTATTAAAATTGAATACAATTCATCCTTTGAATTTAAGAAAAGAACTTTATGTATTTGAAGATGATCTGACAGTTATTTTTCCTTCGAGAAACAAATTATTCTTCTAGAACAATTTGCTTCTGTCTGTGCCTCTTTTACATGCAGTCTTAAACACAGTTAGATATTCTTGCTATACAATCTCAGATGTTATTGTAAGAGATATTTCTGTAGAATTTTAAGTACCTCTGATTCTTGCCGATGAAGTTTTTAAAATTTCATTAATAATACAGAACGAAGTTCAAAATCTGGACGTCCAGTAACTGGACTGATATATGATTGAGACCTTTCATAGCATCCCTCCCCCCCCTTTTTTTTTGAAAACTTTTCTTTCCTCGTATAGTGTAAAGGCAGATAGTAGGGTACTTAAGCGGAAACAGATAAGCCATATGTCAGTTTTGCTTCTGTTAGCTGTTACCCTTCCTCCCCCCCCAAAAGAGAAAACAAAATCGAAATAATATGGACATTATTTTGGCTTTAAACACATGCTTGCTAGCAAATCATATTTTAATTTTCAGCTGAATAATAGTGGAGGAAGTAGCATTTTTCTATCATATAAGTTTATATCAGTTCGGCACACAGTAATTGAATCCAAAAACCATTATTTGTGTGAAGTGGAATACTGCTCATAATGGCTTCCACTCATTTGGCATAGCAGAGAAAGAGAAAGAATTAGTTCATCGGTGAGACTATTCTAGAATTCTTGAAATATTTTATTATAAAATCTGCTGCATGAAACAAGATCCTGTGAGAATGGGTCTGCAGATATTTTGAAAAATGCTTGCATAGGCATAGGCGACATCAGCTGTTGCCCATAGTGCTGATTTTTTAAGTGTGCTAGCTAAGTTGTATTGCAAGTGACAATTAAATAAAGGTACATTTTACTTTAAATTATGAATATGTTTTATTTATATGGGACATTAACTGTGCTGATTGCTTATGGTACTGAAATGTCTGGAGTTGGGCCTGTTTATAGCCAAGCTACCATATTTATGATGAGGACAGCTGTGGATTTGAAGACTTTCAGATAATATCACTAATAAAAAGGCATATTTTTTTATTTAATTGAATATGTGAAGAAATGCTTAATGAAGATGATATAATTAAAGTCTTCTATTGCAATTATAGTCATCCAATCATCAATCAAAACATGGACGGCAAAAACTGTAGAAAATGTCACCACAGATTTTGTATAAAATGATAAATTGTTCATTTGGTTTTATTAATGGAAACTCTCAGCATGGCAGTTACAGGACTTGTACAATGGAGCAGCTTTATAACTAAAGCAAGAAATTATAAAATATAAAATATATCTCTATAAAATTAAAGTATTAAAACACAAAATGAAATAGCTTAAATAACATATGTTGAAAAATATTTCGATGAAGCATAGCAACGCCATTATTTTACAAACAACCTTTCATATTTTTAATATCTTCCACATATAATTTTACTAGATTTAAATTGTTCTAAAATCTGAAAATTTCCCAAATCCAGAATCGTCACTGCAGCTATTCCAGATCTTGGACTTTATACTGTATTTTTGAAACATTTTCAATTTCGAAGAATTTTATCCAAAAATTTGATTTTCGTTGGAATTTTCCCCAGAATTTCTTTTTATGTATTGACAAAATATAAGTACAATTGAAATTACATTGTAACTCAAGTCAGATTAGACAGTCACTTTGTAACTGCTGTGTAATTCAGATTAAATCATACAAATAGAAGGCATACAGTTACATTGTAATTATAATTGTATAATTCTAATAATTCTTAGAAAATAAAAGGTAAAAAGACTTAACCTTTTAATCGATCTTCTTTCTTTCTAATCCAAAGGTATATCCGGGAGTATTTTTCCTAAGTACATCTATACACTTACACAGAAAGAGAGAGGCTTCTGAGATAATAAGATATTTAATTTACAGTAACATCACTAAACTAAACTAAATGTGTAACACAGAAGAGAATTACTACATGTTTCACTCAAACGTCCATCACGAGTTCTTGAAATTCAACTAAAAAGTTCTGATTTAGTTTTTGCTGCGCACATGCGTAAATCAATCACATGGTTGTCGGTGAGAGTTTCAACAATAATCACAGTGCAATTTCCTTCCTGTAGTTTTACTCCCACCGGTGGCTGAGTAGTAAAAACCATTGAATACTGGTAATTCAACCTGGTTTGGGTTCAATCCCAGGCACACTGGCTGGCTGCATAGTTGATTTTTGTGATTTTCCGCATATGTAACATTAATACTACCCAGTTTCTCCCAGAAAGTCTTTCACAAAGGCATTCCTTCTCTTAGGCTTTCAGCCCTCATGGCTTTGCCATATTCAGATAATCTAAGCTATCCTGTAATTTTACATTGCACATACAGTGCACTCACTGGATTACTCATGATAGTTACAGTTATGTAGTTATAATCGCGATTATAATTGAAAATTCTATTAAAACCCAGCATGTCTGAACCAAGTAGTATTCTGGTTAACAAGCTGCTAAATAATACAGAGAGATAGTTGGCTAGGAGAGGTAATTAATAATTTATTGCAAACTAAAATAAAATTGGAAAACTTGTTTAAAGTAATTAATTTTGATTTTTGAATAGATTAAACTTTTAGTTAATCACCGTTAAATTTTTAGTTCATCCCCACTTTTTAAAAATTTCTTTATATATCAATATGTAATATATACATCAATATATATATATCTTATTTTCATTTAATGTTTTAGACTATAACAAAAGGCTTAACAATATTTGGAGAAACAGTTGCAAATAGTCTAAGTGGGCAGAAACCAATGCCTAAACCTTCATCTCTTAAAAGTGATTCTAAAGCTTCTGATGATAGTCAGCCAGGAATAATTACTATTTTGGATGTTCTTGCTGTTCATGGTGAAGTAAGTATTCATTTGACTTGCCTTTAGATATTTAGAATAAATAAATAAAATAAATTGTAAGGCTAGTTTTACATGCTTATGAGATATGATGGCCCTTTCTGAGTATATAAATTTTGAATTTGCTTTATCTTGGTCTTGTGATATGTGATAATTTATGTATTTTGTTTGACAATTTTTGTTAATATTTCTGTTTGAGTCTAATTTGTCTGTGCATTGCATAATATTTTGTAATTATGATGACAGATACTTCTTAGTAAGTTAAAGAGTTTGTTTTTGAAGCTATTTTAAATAAAAACGAATTGTCATTTTAAAATTTGCTTATCTTCTAAACTTTTCAGTTTTTAAGGTATCTATGTTAAGAAGTTGAAAGCAACTAGTTTAAAAATACAGTGCTCAACAAAATTCATTTCCCCCTCCACTTTTCCTTGAGGAAGAAGTCTGCTATATCTATAAATATATATGCATTATGGGATGTGTGTGTATTTTTACATCTGATGTGTATATCTTTTTTTTAATGTATCTCTGACATGAACTTGAAATAATTACATGTTAATATCAATTCTGGGCATGCTTGTGTAAAGCAAGAAATTACCAAACTCTGTTTTCTGCGGGTTTTTTTAATTTATTTATTTATTTATTTATTTATTTATTTGTGTGTGTGTGTATTTTCAACAACTGCTGAAAAGGTCATATTTATCAGAAAGTACATGATCAGTAACAGTGGGTGTTTACACAATTTTAGAACAGTTTTGGGGTTGTTTAATTAATGTTTAAAATGTAAGTATTTTTTAAATGTTTGATCTGATAGCCTTTTTGTGGATTATAAGTCTGTTTCATGATTTCCACAATAGAAGGGCTTTTCATAAAATTTCCATGGGTGTTGATTTCTGTTCTTCTTCCACTATTTTCCAAAGTCCCTCAGTTGTGTTAGGTTTCCACTTAGAAGAGCTCATTTGAAAAGATCCATAGGTGAAATGTCAGGAATTCTGCAGGAATACATTGAAAAGGTATACAGTCAAAAGTCGTTAATTCGGACACCCATAATTCGGAATGAACTATAATCCGGACCTCAAAGCTACAAACTTTCTGCGCATGCGTCGGTATGACACATGACCTTTAAGACCTTTACGGCTGCGAATATGCGTGTGCAAAATACGTTTACGAATGCGCGTTTAATGTATAACGGGCGGTATAAGCTAAGCTAAAATTATCTAATTCAGTTAATGTTGCAGATTGCGTTGTTTCTTAATCTTCGAATTGGATTCGGCTTATTATTTTTTGCAGAATGTTAGAGCAATTTTATAAAAGTAAGCTTGAACTTTCGATTATGTCAAATAGAATTTCTGATATATATTTACTAATATGTAAAGGATCTATAAAGCGAAAGTATGTTTCGAAGTCCATTAAACAAAAAGTGGAATTGCTGCAAAAAATGGATAAAGGCATATCCTTTGTTTATCTAAACTTTAAGGTTTGTTTATCTGAACTTTGTTTATCTTTAAACTGTGCGCAATGAATTGGAAGTTGATCTGTCAGCGCTATCCTTATCTTCAGGGCAGATGTTTTTGTTTTATTTGGCTTATAATTCTTTATAAATGTAGTATTCCATTTAGATGTACACAGTCTTTGATATGATTTAAATCAAATTCCTCCTCATTATAATTCGCTTCCAATAGCGACGAAAGTAACAGAGGTTATTGAAAACGAAAAAATTTCGATTGAGAAATTAGTCAGTATTCTCGGCACAGCAATTATAGGACTTCAACAGTGGAACTTCGTAACTGAACAAGAAATGATGTCTGTTTATAGAATTAAAGAGAATGTATTATCACATTAAAAACAAAGCAACTTAAACAACTTACATTGAAAGAAATGTTTAATAAAGTAAACAAATAAATATTAAGCTTTTTCTTTTTGTAAATTTTGATACCCTTTAGATCATAATTGTTCTTTATTTCATAAAATACGGTTTCATATTTTTAATTTTGTAATTTCTGCATGCCATCTTACCAGATTTAAACTGATGATCTATAATCCGGAAAAATCGATAATCCGGAATCGCCGAAGTCCCGACGTGTCCGGATTAACGACTTTTGACTGTAATTGATTGAATAATTGGACACTTTGCCAAAATTCTTCGTAGTCCATGAACTATTCTCTTGTATCTAGGAGTTTCTCATCTACAACACCTATCATTGTGCGTGCTTTAATTTCTAATATAATGTGAAAGCCAGTCTATTTCAAAATGTCTTACCGGTCTACTAAATTTTCAGTTATTACAAGTTCAGTTGTCTAATAAAGCAATTTTTATTTTGCAATATATATATATAAATAATTGTTTCATAAGACTAAATAGTAAAGTTAAATTTTAATTTGGAAGCAACTTTCCCTTAATAAGATCTGTCTCCTGCCTGCTCAACAATTATTCACTAATGCAAATTAATTTAGTTAACTTGGAAATTTTTATAAAATTTTTTAGGATTAATTTTTTGGAATATTTTATATTTATTCATGGATTTAGATACTTGCACTTAATTTTACATATGCTGTCAGAATTTAAATGATACTGTAGATTAGTTCGCAGCAATAAGTAATCATTTATTTATATGCAATTAAAATTTTAATTTTAATGAACTTTAAATTTGGTTTTTGCGAATAGAAAATGTTTGTTAAATATATATATATATATATGTATATATATATGTAATAAAAATAAAACATTTATCCCGAATTCAACATCCCATATTCTCTTCTTATATACATCATAAACTTCCCATATTCAACATGGAACAAACCATTAGAAATAAAATCGAGAAACACAGTGAATAATTGCATGAAAAGGGGAAAAAAAAGTGTTTACAAAAAATGAAAATTGCAGAAGAAAAAAAGAAGAAAAGTATTTACTACCTTATTCCACATTGTTATGTAATGAAAGAAGGAAATGAGTCTAGATACATGTAAAAAAATATGAAAGATGCTTAGTTGGAAAATTTAAAATTTGAATGGAAAGACAACTTTCTTTGTTTTTGCAATGACATCTCTCTTTCCTTGCAGTTTTCCCCATTCCTTTTATCCAGTCATAATTTAGAATTCAAACAAAGAATTTCCAAGTCCTTCAGCTGCTTTTTATGCACTCTTTTTTGCCACTTGCAATTTTTTTTCCCCCTGTATTCTCATTTCTTCGCTGAGCTATATTTCTTCATTGTGTAGAAAATGCAATTATGTAGTTTAAAATTGTCAGGTGCAGATTTCCCCCCCAATGTGCTATGCCATATGGTAAAATATATAATAAGCTATGTTGATAAGAATTGAAAGTACGGATTATCAAGTGATTTCAAGATTCTTCAAAAGAGTTCCAGTTATCTACTGTGCCACAGTCAAGCTATCTGCTATCACCACTACTCCAAACATGTCTGTGGTGCAATTGGTTTTTTTCATTGTCCCATATGTAAAATTATCTCGCACACACACACATATATATAAATAAATGTAGCAGTTATCAGAAAGTAAATCTTCCCCAATTAAAAAAGAAAAATTAAACTGTATTTCACTAATTTTGAGATTAAAATGCAGCGATATAAAATGATGTAGTGGAACCTGCGTTAATTTTGAATAAATTAAAAAATATAATTTTTGGTATGCTTATGAAGTTGTCTGAAAATAGGTGTGTATTCATGTACGTATTTTATATTAATATTCTGAATTATTTAAAATTATGTACTTATTTGTACTATATGGTAATTTTCAGGATTTTCGAAATGGGATTGCAGTCACCTCTAAAATGAAGTTGCTTATTTTTAACTTTAGAAATTTTAAAACCATGCATTTCACAACTTTCCTGAATTATGGAATAGTAATACGAAAAGTACAAAAACATATCCTTCAATCCACATTTGTTTACGTGCAACATTTTGGAAGAAGAATAAATTTTAAAAGTAGCAGAGGATTTTTCTCATTTCAAATAATAATCTTATGCCAAAAATAACTTTGCTGTTAGTCACAAAAAAATATGATCTTGTGTTGCATGTTAGGCAGCCAATTTTTTTTTTTTTTTTTTTTTTTTCTTATTTTATTTCAAACAAGGCAACTGTTTTTGTTTCTCAGCAATTACTTATTTTTTTTCTGTAAAATTTTGTCTTTCTGAAGTGTATGCTTTTCATTTATGTGCATTATTTTCAGGTTAATATTGATGAAGATAGTGATGGAGAAGGTATAATAGCACATTTCCCCGCCCATGCCAATGAGCCTGTAGCAGCTGTGGAATTTGATCCTAGTGGAATGCTACTGTTTACGTCTTGCCGATTAGGACACAGTTTCCACATCTTTCGTATATTTCCACATCCTGCCAGTTCTGCTATGGGTGCTGTTCATCACTTATATACTTTGCACCGTGGAGAAACAACATCAAAGGTTTCATAATATTTTTGGTAGTGTAATAGTAGTTAAATAGATTATGGGATAAATCTAATTAACTCATTTAGTAAAATTCTTGCTTTCATCTGAATAGGGAAGTAATTTTCATTTTGTGCACATCAACTTATGCGTTAAAATGTTTAACTCTTTTTTTTCTCAATATTTGAAAGATATTTTTGATAGTTTGGATAAATAAAGCTAATAAACAGATATTGTTATGTAAATTAGTGGTAGCTAACTTCTTTACAGTTGAGGACTATTTAAATTATGTCTTGGGGCCATGGGTAATAATATTGCATTTGTTTTGGTTAGTAATAACAGTAGTAATTTAGAAGATATTTAGGAATATGTCCAGGAATAATAAACACCTTCTAGTTTCATATTTTTTTTTATTAATTTCAAATAATCTTTGCAAGTAGTAGTTCCAAGATAATTAGAAGTATGAAAATACACACAAATGTGGACATCTGATAAATGATAATAAACTTTTTAACAGGTACAGACCACCATTGACATAAGTCAAGGTATTAGGTTCTAATTATTCATGAGTACCTCCAAAAAAGTAACCACACAGATGATTAAGCAAAAATAAATCTGCATTTTTAACCGGAATCAAAGCATATTAATTTATATCATTATAGATTTTTAAATGTGTTTATGCTGATAAGTAATAGTATTACTTTTTCTCCCAGTTTTTTCTTTTAATTTTTAATTCATATTAGTAGTATAAGTTTGAATATACTTTTGAATAAATAAAATATAAGATTTCTGACATACACAATTAGGTTTAGAAACTACATTAAAAATGGCAGTCTACATGTAGTGAGTTTATAGTTTTAAGATAAAATATTTTTTTATATTTCTACATAGTCTATATTTGCCATAATGTGTATTGCTTAAATCAGTTCTATGAGATAAAAGTAAAAATAAATAAATAAATAAATAAATAAATAAATAAAAGCTATCTTTAATATCTGAGAAGTTTCATAAGACTCCTTTAAAAAAATGCATTAACATTTTAAGTCACTTTTCATACCTGAGAGAAATAAATGTATAAAGAAGAAAGTGTTTTCCTGTTTAATTTTTGCTGTATGTAATTATAAAATGCATATAGTTTTAACCCTAGAATGCTACCCTTTGAAAAACTTATGGGAATGGTAACCATTCGTCTCCGAGACAAATTATGTGCAAGTGTGTTTAAAAATAATTTTAAAAGCTAATTAGAATAAATGTGTACTACCTGCAGGTGATTTCATGACACTCAAACTTCAAGTAGGCAAGAAAATATTATTTATTTTCAAAGCAGTCTTTATGCATATTAGCATGATGTTCTCTGCACATTGCTCTGGAACATGTTTGACAAAAGTTGTGCATCATTCTGCACAAAATGTACAAACAAAGTGCACAAATTTTTCTTTTTTTACTGTCAGATTGCTTGGGAGGTCAAATGTTCAAATCTAATTTCAACATTTCTGTTACTATTGTTTTTGTTGATAAAGACAAATTTGGTATGTTGAGACATTTTTTCATCCAAGGAGTAACATCTTCACTTAGCTTTATTGCAAACTTTTTCCTCAATAATACCATTTCGGATTTTCAAGTGATATTATGCACATATATAACATCTGCATTCACTAAATATTATTAATCATGCCATGAAACACACAAAGAGGCTTTCAGCATGTTTTTCTGCTATATAATTGCATATCTGATCCAATGTGTCTATGGCCCCTTTTGTGGAGTTATAAAATTCTATCTAGGACAGAAAAGTTTTCTCTTTGTCAAAATAATACATTGCAAGTTTAATACTTCGAGAAGCAACTGTGAAAGTTCTGCAGGATTTTCTCTTTTATTTTTCTGGACAGTTCGTAGAGTTGTTAAATTCATTGGATTAATAAGAAGTGTTTCAGTTAAAGGTATCAATATGAACCAGTTATCCATTGTGACATTTTTGTTAGTGCCCTTGAATGCTTCTTATTAATTCTTCAATGAAGTGAGATGCTAGAGGAATACCTTTAGTTTGAGTATTCAAACTCAAATAAGGTATTGCATTGATTATATAGTACATCGCACGTCATTACTATTTTGATGCCATATTTTGCAGGTTTATTCGATATGTACATTCTAAAGAACATCCTTCTCAAAAACCTAATAATTGTTCATTAGTTGTAACATATGATCCTGGTTTATAAGATCCCATAAAACTCTTAATGAATTCATCCCAGATCTCTCTGATTGGTGCATATTTATCTTTTTCTTTTCTCCCTACTAAATTATCTTTTGAGTCAAAACATAGACAGCAAAAAACGGAATCTAACTTCACTCATTCTAACTTTGTACCGGTGACTGCATAATATTGTATCAAATAACTCATTTGATTATTTTTCATAGCTGCTCGCCAAACAAGTAATTCCAGTGAAGCTTTAATTTCGTCAACACGGGTTTCCGAAATTGATTTTTTTTTTTTTTAAGCGTAACTTTCTTTTTACTTCTTTGTACGAAGTAAAAATGAAGTATTGTAATCACAAAAAATTAGCAGTGTTTTTGCTTGACACCTGTACGTAAGGACAGAATAAATGACTTTTTTCCCCAAAAAATTATAAAACTGGTTTAAAATGAATTCTGAAGAGAACTTTTCGTGGTGTCTGTACACACGTACTTATGTACATATATCGCATAACTCAATGAGTAGCCTCAAAACTTTGAAATTTTTTTATGGGATTGCTATAACATATAGATGTGCGTGTGTGTGTGTGATTATGGCAAAGCCTCAAGGGCTATCTGCCTTAGGGTAGGGATGCCTTTGTGGAGGAATTTCTAAGGGAAAGTGGCTCATATACACGTTACACATGGGGAAAACCAAAAAAAAAAAAAAAAAAAAAAAAAAGAAAAAAAAAAAAAAAAAAAAAAAAAAAAAAAAAAAAAAAAAAAAAAAAAAAAAAAAAAAAACAAAACTCCCGTGCAGCCAGCCCGTTCGTGGCATTCGAACCTCGGACCGAAGTACCAGTGTTCAGTGACTTTACCGCTCGGCCGCTGGTGGGCCCTCCATATAGATGTGCACCTCGTATTTTGGTTGCAATTGGCTGCACCAAAAGTATATATGTATATATATATATATATAACCACTTTGTTACTCGACTTAGTAATCTCACTTTCTTTATTCTTATATATTTGTAAATTTTGCATTTTTTGCTTTAAAAATGATTGAATTATGTTGTTCTTATCTTCTGGTTAAGGTTTTTATGCCTTTGTAAATCTGCATGCAATATTTTTTTTAGAATTATCAACAATTTAAAAGTTGTTTAAGTTCCACTAAGCCTAATTATTTTTGCTATGGCGGCTATGTTTCTTTACATTTGAAACAGCAGAATAGTAGATTTGTTGCCAATCTGGAGAAAGTAAGCTTCACAATAACAAAGATAACACCTTCTTTTATTATTGCGAATTACATCATGCTTAATCCATTCTGGAATTTATTCGAGGAAATAAGTGTTTAAGATTTACTACCTAATTTTCAATACAGACATCTTGAGTTTTAATGTATTTTTGCCTTCTCGCGAAGTGAGAACTGAATTAATTGAATGAAAAATACTGAATCATCTGTGAAACACTGTTTCCTTTTTCTTTCTTTCTTTCTTTCTTTTTTTTTTTTTTTTTTTTTTGTCGTTGTTCTTTGCTTAATTTCTTTTATACATGGTTTTAGATTTATTATAGTATTTGAATAGAACATGTGGCAACGATTAGATAATTCTTAAGATGATAACAAATTTCGTGCATTCTGAGTTAAAAAATGAATGAATTGTAACACAGTTAAGTGAACCTAGGGCCAGAGTGTTGCTATGGTAAAAAAATATAGTGAATTTTAAACAGTGCATTTATTCTATTGTGGTTTATGCATTATCAACGAAATAAATTTTATTCCTTCCAATAAGTTTAAATGAAATGCAAGAAAAAATGCATATAATTTAATATTCCGTACAAGTGGTACAAGTCATGTGGTATAAACATCAGATTTTTTTTCCTTTAATTTAAGAATTAGTATGAGAAACGGCTCTACTCTTATAAGTGCCCTAAGATCACGAAATGTGGCGATATGTGTTCTGCCCTGGTTTTTGGCGCGATTGCGTGTTGTATTGCAACCCTTTTGATGTTGAATACAATACTCCTTGCTCATTGGTTAGTGTCATGCGTATTTTGAAATGGCGTATATTGCAATGAGAAATGTGGTTGCAAGAGGGTCTGGGAGATTATTTTTAGTGGCTGTGCATGATAGAAGTAAGGAAACGCTGATGCAGTGTATTAAAGAGTGGATTGAGCCTTAATACAACTATTTTTTCGGATGGCTGGAAATCTTACAAGGATTTAGGAAAAGAAGGTTTTAAATATTTATTTGTGAACCATAGTATGAATTTTCTGGATAGTGTGTCTGGCTGTCATATAAATACGATAGTGATTACGTGGTGGCATGAAATTAGAATTTCTGCTGTTCAAAAAAGCATTCATTCATGGTCAGTGCATTTTATTTTATTCTTGTTCTTATTTTGAGAATGTTATGTTCATGGTTTTTTTAGTATGAATTTCTGTAGTTATTGATGTTTTTTTTAATTGTTTGAAATTTATTTTAGTTTATTTTGTTGATTAGTGTGTAGTGCCTAGATTGTGCAATTCAAAGATGGTTTTTAAAATTGAAACAGAATGCTGTGTACATGGTATTATGGTTTTTAAAGTTGAAACAGAATGGTGTGTACATGGTATTCTTTGAAATTTATTGTTGTTATGTTAATTTATTAAAGCGATGTGTGCATAGTTCGTAGATTCTTTCGCTGCCTAGATTGTGCAATTCGTAGATGTTTTTTTAAGTTGAAACAGAACGCTGTGTACATGGTATTCTTTGAAATTTATTGTTGTTATGTTAATTTATTGAAGCAAGGTGTGCATAGTTTGTAGATTCTTTTACTGTCTAGATTGTACAATTCGTAGATGATTTTTTTTTTTTTTAAGTTAAAACATTTCACTGTGTACATGGATTCTTGTCATATATTTTTGGTTAGAAACTTTACGTTTGTTATCTAAATTTTTTGTTTTTGTTTCGGATTTTTAGCTTAAATTGTGTGTTCAAAACATGGTTTTTGCACGTGGGAAAACCGCGTTTTTGGAGACATTTTAGGCTTAAAGTTCGAAATGTAGACAAAGATTTAGATAGTAATATGGCACCGTGGATTTTCTCGGCAAAAATGTTTGGCAAGAATTTTGGTGACTTGAAGGTGCATATAAGAGTAGTTCCTGGGAAACAATTATTTCCAAAATTTGAGGAATAAAAAAATTATTAAAGGATTCAAGAAGAGTGTAAAGTTCTTTTGCTGAGTCCTTTGGCCCTTGAATAAAATGATTATTAAGAAATTAAGAAATAGAAGAAATTAGAAAAGAAAATATTGCAAGATGCTGTCCTTTTGTTGCTTGATTTAGGAATGGATGATCACTTATCTTTACCAGTGAGTTGAATTTTTCCAGAGTAAATAGTAGATTTGTCACATGACTAAAAAAAATTGGAATTTTCCCAACTTTCTTAGCTTTATATTTCAACTTGATATTTTCATCTTCCTGAGTTTTTTTTTTCAAGCATTGTTTCTTCTTCTTGTTTATTGTTAAATGGTAATTCCTCATTTTCATCTTTGTCACTGTCTGTGAATTCGTGATTTTCAACTTCAATTCTGATTCATCTGCTGAAATAGAATTTTCTTCATCACTTAGTTCTTTTAACAGATCCTGAATAGCCTCAGGTCTGCCCCAAAAATTTCCTTTTCTAAAATGTTTTGACATCTTCGAGGCAATGCAGAAGTTAATCTAAGTCGTATTCTGAAATGCAAACATTACAGCTAACCATTCGTCTGAGACGAGTATTATTCTAAAAAGGCCACTTGTGGAAATATTTCGATAAGAAGGAATGTCCTTATTGTAGTAGCAAAGGTCATCATATAAAGATACGGAATTGCCTGTCCCATTTCCTGTTGCAGGAATGAATGGTTAGCATTCTAGGGTTAAGGATAAAAATGTATGTTGATGTGCAGTAAACTTCTGGTTTATTGGATTCGAATTAATTGTATTGTGGATCAACCTGGCTCTTTTAAAAAACGTATTTTGATTTGTTTATCATAGAATGATGGAAAAATTACTGTCATAAACTATTAGTCTAAAAGAAATTGTATATGAAAAATGGAAAAAATAAAATAAAATTGCTTGGAATAACAGAAATGATAGAAGATCTCATAGTATTTGAGAGTTGTGTTGATCCACAAGGGTACTTAATTTAATTTTACATAAGGTGGCATATGTAAACATTGTTAAATCATCATAAAAATAAATCGTTTTACTTTGAAAAAAAGAAATCAAAGGCACGGCCTTTAATTTTCTATTTCATATTCTACATTGAATCCTGCTGAAGCATAAGAATAATCTATATATTAAAAAGAACACTATGAAACACATGGTGTACCACCATGAAGCAAGAAACATATGTAGAAGAATATAGGTTATTTCTCTTTTATGTGTTTTTTTAACTACTCTGTTATTAACCAGATATGTCAGTCCAGTATTACCCGTAATAATTGGCAGTTAACTATAGTGACATTTTAACATGAATGATTTTATATCATATATTATGCAGATGATACACACAGTTTTAAGATTAAAAGTATCTACTGTTTTAGTACATTTTTAGTATGAAAGTTCTGTTTCACACTGTAGTTAAAATTATGAAAGGTAGCACAAATAAATAGATCATATTGTAGTACGTTTCAAACTTTCTCTTAAAAATAATGGCCAAAACATTTTTTTGGCCATTATTGCAGTTTTTTACTTCTTTGCTTCGCTGCATTGCTTTTCAGTGTGTCTCAATGGAGCTTAGAATATTTTTATGAAACATTATGTTTGATCTGGTAGGTAATTATGATTATGTCTATATTTTCTATACAGAGTTTCAAATGGTGTATTTTTTTCCTGTGATAGGTTCAGGATGTTGCATTTTCATTGGATAGTCGCTGGATTTCAGTGAGCACAATGAGAGGCACCACTCACATCTTTCCTATAACTCCATATGGAGGTAACTAAACTATCATTCAGTGTATCAGTGTAAGTTTTGTATGTAATGATTATGCTTAATATTGTACTTATTTTAAGTTTAATCACTATTTGCAAAACTTGCATTTGATCAGTACTGTATTGCTCTATGCAGTATTATTCACTGTGATCCTATATTCAGTATTATGTCTGTACATTATTGATACTTTGCCTTGTACTTTTTATTGGATTTTATTGAAAATGTGGTAAGATGTTAAAAATGGTATGTGCATTGTTTCATTGATTATAGAGGCTATAAAAGAGAAAATTAAAATTGGCATGCAGAAGGGGAATATTCACATTGTGTTAGTACTTTTCAATGGGATTTGGTTAATGATAGATGTAGTTAAGAAAATTTGATTCTCATTTTATGATTTCTTAAAAAAGAAATATTGAGATTTAATTAACAGAACAGGGGTGGGCCAGAGCCAACCTGCTAGCCGAAAGTGGCCATATTAATCAAATCTGTTAAGAAATACTTAGCATACATTTTCATCTTTTTTCTAAACGATATTGTATGTAAACTACCAAAATAAGTAGTGCAAGATTTCATCTGTTGTTACATGTGCATATATGCGCATAACTCTAGTAGTGACTAACTTAAACTGAGAATCCTAGATATGCTGGAAAGCATATGCAATCACCAATAAATATATTCCTATCATTTCTAGCAGCTTTAATTTAGATATTACAAAGACTGATCAGAAAAGGGAGCTTTAGAGAATTTCACCTCTAAATTTTTATTTGAAAATGAAACAGTGTACATGTCAATCATTTTATTACCAGTAGAAAGAGGTCCTCTTTTGGGCATATTTATAATTTTTTAATGGGTAGAGTTGTCCCTCCCCATTGCATTCTACAAACAGTAGGGGCAAAGATTGTTACGTCCCTGCCCCTAGATGCACTAAAAAGGACCTTTTTGGCCTGCAGATATTTTTTCACCCCTGATCTGGAATGATTTTTAAAAGTTAAGAAAGCAGTCTATTATTGAGAAACAAAGACATTTAATGTGCATTATGATTTACCTTAAGATAGCATATGTGATATTAATCATGTTGAAAATATGATATCAACACATTTGGGTAGAATATAAATTTTGTAAAATTATATAATTTGTAAAAAATAGAAGTGTAACTAATTAAAAAGTATATTATTTAAAATATTTCTTTTTTTACAGATTATGAAAAGTTTCGGAAATCTTAGAAAATCTTTTCTGAATTGAAAAATTTTTTTCAAAAAGTTTTTTGTGATTTAATTATATTTTATTTATCTCCTTAATTTTCATTTGATATGATACAAATCTTTTTTTAAAGCAGTTCTTGATTTTGATTTTTCTACTTTTATTTTTTATTCACAGTTTTAAATTATGCATTTTTAGGACCTGTAAGTGTAAGAACCCATACTTCTCCAAGAGTGGTGAACCGACTTAGCAGATTTCACAGGAGTGCTGGTTTGGAAGAAATACAACAAACTACTACTACTGGAAGAAATAGTCCTGTGCTTTCTGGAAGTCCAAGTTCATCCAGTATGAATTTCGCTTTTAGTACATTTAATCTGTATAAGCCGCCCAGACGGTGTAGTTGTTAGGGGAGTTTGACTGCGATACCAAAGGGTTCGTGTTCGAATCCCAGAAAAGACATGGATGTAAAATTATCTATCCCTTCATAGGGGGTAATGGTGGCTGCCTCTTAGGTCCCTCCACGATAAAATGGCCACCACTTCTGGCCCTAGGAGTGGCTAATGCAGCTATAGGCAAGTGCCCACCGTTAGGGGGAAAAAACATTTAATCTGTCTAAGGTTTTTGTGTATGTTCTTTTTCTTACAAATCGTCCATTACGTATCCTTTAAGAATTTTGTTCATAATTTAAAAAATTAGCTTAGGTGAAAATACGTATTTTGATTGTTAAATTAATTTCGTAACATTGTGGTGCTATTTATATGCAATTGCTTATGAGTATTAACATGTTAGTAGTTTCTAATGATGTCAGTGTAACTTTATATCATGAAATATTGAATAATTCTACTGTAATATATCAAAAGTTTGAAAATGAAACACGTGACCTCATCTGAATTATTGGTAAATAATTATATAAAGTTATATATGTTAATGAAGAAATTTTACTCTACTAAAAATATTAGTGTTAGCTAAGAAACATTGTTTTATATTTTTAAAACTTCTAATAAATAACTAAAATAAATAATAATTAATTATATTTGTTCTGCAACTGTTGAATTCCAATATTTAGAGCAATGTCACAGATGTTTGTCTCTCAGCCTGTAAAATAAAACGTTTGAAACATGGAGGTTTGAAATGTAAACATTTTATTGCTTTATAAATATAGTTACATATGTTTTAGCTGATTTTTTTTATTTAAACTTGCAGCTTATTTAAGAAAACAAAATATATTAGTAAATAATAGAAAAATATATTAGGGGATGTACATTGGTCATCAAAAGTAAAGAATAATGAGAAAAAAATATGTTCACAAATTAATGTTGCAACCAGTGCCCAGTGCTGTAATTATTTATGTTAATTAAATAGAATTGAATGTATATTTATGTTAATTAAATACAATTGAACCCATCTTGAAACTAATTGAATATGTGCGGGATGCCTTAGAGTGCTCAATTTCAGTGCACCAAATTCCTCCATGGACTCTCTAGGAGCTGAAAAGTGCACTTTTGGAAGAGTGGCATGGAATTCTACGAGATTTGATCATAAATTTTGTAAAGTTTACGAAATCGAAATGTGAGGTATGCATATATGTCTGAGGTGACCATACACCATATTAAAGAAAAAATTTTTCCGGAAGAGGTGACCTAATTTTCCCATCATTTTCCATTTTCCATAAATTTGGTTTTAACTTCAATATTTTACAAATAATCAACTGCCAAACATTGTAATTTATGTTAACTAATAATTTTGTACAAATTTCTGTTAAGAATTTTTCATTAAGTATTAGTTCCGTTTTATTTCTTTAATTATCCTTTAATTTTGATAACCAATATATTTATTTTGTTTTCACTCATTTATATTTTTTGTGAAAAAAATGTGAGTGTTCTCCGGGTTGCATATTGATAATGAAACTATGATCAAAGTGTAAGCATAGAACTCACTTTTGCTCCCTGATTTCTAGATAAGTGTTGAAATGGTAATCTTATTAAAAATTATTATCAAATTATAGAGCAGAGATTCTAATTAAAGAACTTGTTAAAGATATTAAAGGTCATAGGAGCATTTAAAAATTTTATTTTCATGAATAACTAGGCCATGAGGATTTTACCCCTGGGAATAATACTGTGGAATTATTTTGAAGGTTGTTCATTGGGAAATATGAAGAATTGACAAATATGAAGTTCATTGGAAAATATGAAGGGCTTCAAGAATTCTATTTCACATATGCAAAAATTGAAGAGTTAATTTCTCTTACTAAAGCCTCTTTGAGTTATAATTTGTTTGCCAAATTGAAGGATTAGCTATGAGTAATCCTCTCAGTCCTGTACTTGCTATGGAATCCTCTCAGGCCTGTACAGTCCAGAACTGTGGGTATGCATTGCTCTTTTCAGATCAAATTTTTTGAGAAACTCTTTGTCCTTGGATTCACTACATAGATGACACTTCCGTACTTGCTGATGATAATAAAGAAGATTTATCCTAGATTTTATCTATTACTAGCCACTACGCAGCCAGCCTTTGTCTAGATTTTAAATGTACTGGAAAAATGCCTGAACGGAACACCAAACATTGAATTTTACTCTGCAAAACAGCTTTATATATTATTTTAAAAAAAACCTGCAAATTTCAATAAAAATGTATTACCTATAAAAAAATTACAATGAAATAAACAATATCCCTTAAAACAAATATTAATTATACTAATAAATAAATTAAACAAATTTCCGTTGCAAAATCTTAAGAATTCAAATGATATAAAGGAAGTTAAGAACTTTGTTTCTAAAAAAAAAATCATGCAAAAATTTATATAATTAAAATTATATATAATTAAAAATAATATAAAAAAATTACATGAAATAAGCAATAAGTCTAATATTTTCAGGAGAAAACAGTCAGTAGTTCAGTATCCAAAACAGTGAATGAAAAACTGTTGCCAAAACCACATTTCTAAAAGAAATAATATTAAGTATTTTGTCGTGCTTTTATTTCATCCTTCTCATAGTTATAAAATTGTATGAATTCTCCAGAAATCATTTTCACATCCATCAATAAAATCTGTGGTTTGTTTCTTATAGCAGCTTAAGCTTAAAGATTGCATTTTTGACTTTAATGCTTGTGAAATTTATAGCATAGCATGTCAGTGTGATTTGAGATGACATGAGCCAAACTAAAAGAGCATTGAGGTTTCATATCAAGGAACAAGAATCTGATGTCCGAAAAGGTCAAATTAACAAGCCTTCCATAGCTAATCATAGTTTGGATTTTAATCATAATTTTGACTTTAGGTCTGCTCAAATTATCCAAAAAGCTTCTTCAGTTGGTGAATTATTAGATTTTCTTGAATCTTTTCATATTAAAAAAATATTTAGCTTGTTTAGTTAATGACTTTAAGTCCAATCCAGTCCATCCTAATGCTTTTAAATTCTGTCAACTTAATTTTTGAATTTTTGTTACTAATTTTGCCGACAAATGGTGCTTTCTTCTCTTTCGCTTTTACTGCAGTTATGTTATAAAGAAGACTGTTATTTTCTCTGCTTTCCAGTTTTGCAAATTTCTTTGCCCCTGATGAAGATGGACCTGTTTGCCCTTCAAATCGTTTGATAGGTTGTTTCTTTGCTTATATTAAGTTTCACTTTGGCGTGTTTCTCTTCTGATTTGACAAATATCTTAAGGACATTCCTTATTTTTTAATTTTTGGTGAAGTGTATTTAATTTAGTTGAAAGAAGGTACTATTACTACTGTATTTTTTTCTTTCCCAAATAAATCGCATTATTAATCACATTATTAAATCGCATTATTAATGTACTTCATCTTTCAACAAATCATCTTTCAAACTTTGAAGGGGAAACAGGTTTCAATCTTTCAAACCTGTTTGCCCTTCAAATCGTTTGATAGGTTGTTTCTTTGCTTATATTAAGTTTCACTTTGGTGTGTTTCTCTTCTGATTTGACAAATATCTTAAGGACATTCCTTATTTTTTAATTTTTGGTGAAGTGTATTTAATTTAGTTGAAAGAAGGTACTATTACTACTGTATTTTTTTCTTTCCCAAATAAATCGCATTATTAATGTACTTCATCTTTCAACAAATCAGACAGAATTTTAGACTATGAAACCTCATTAAATGATAGAAGAAATTTTGTAATAAATTTTCTGCAAGAGTACTTAACAGTTTTTTTTTGGGGGGGGACACAGATCCTCTGTTTTCAGTGCAGTTGGTTCAAGTGTTTACAAGTTTGCAGAAACAGTAAAAGGTTTTGGTATGGTTTTAAGCCATCTTTGCGTTATCTCAATTACTCAGCTGTTGTCTGCAAACTTTTGATCTGTTATTTTATTTATTTATTTATTTATTTATTTTTGAAATTCTAGACAAGTGAGTCTGATGACATTAAGTCAGAATTTCACTTTTTCAACTGTGTGGTGAATGTTCTTGTGCCTAAAATTTTCGAGCATGCAGTGATGATTTTAGAGCACTCATATTCTTTTCTGGAGAAGGGCCCCCAGATTGCTGGCCTGCCAGCAGTTTTTTAGTTTTTCCCATGTGTAATGGGAATTCAAGATCAGTTTCTCTTAGTCCTTCACAAAGGCATCCTTCCCCTTAAGCAGGTGGCCCTTGCGATAATCAGTTAAACCAGTATGAAACTCCTGATTATATTGCAGGTTTTAAACTTTCTATTAATGTATCACTATATCAATAACTTGCCCTTAATTTGACTTTTTTAAAAGGTCAGTTGACACCCCAAAAGTGATTAGTCTGACTTTTTCAGAGGAAGTCAAGCTCTTTTTCTGGGAACTTGAATTTGTTTCTTAACTGGAGGCAAAAGGTGTTTCTGCCCCATTTATTGTCTCTTACATCATTTTATGGTTCATTTTGCTGCATTTATTTTTCCCAGCTCAGTGAAGAAAGGAATCTCATTACAGCATCAGAGTCTAAATGCTCTCGAGTTAATTGCTGTGTATGCTTCAGCCTTAGTTTCTGTTAATGCCTTGCTCTGCCTTAATGTTGGTGTAGGAAAATTGGTAGCTGAGATGAGGTGTGTGTTTCTACACCTAAGGTCATCATCAGCTGTATTGTACATTGAGACATAATTCATATTGAATCTTCAGCCATCTATTTCATAATTAGTGACTTGCTATTGAATCTTCAGTCATCTATTTCATTATTAGTGACTTGCTATTGAATCTTGACTCATCTATTTCATACTTGAGTCATGAATCCATCTGCTACTTCACTATCTTTGTTAACATGTTATCTCTCATTTTGTTGTTCATTGCTCACATTTAGCCTTTTTTGTTTTTAATTTTCACTTATTTTTGTCTTCTCATTTTATTTAAACTATACCAGATCTCCATTCTTCAGTATATTTCAGAAGGCTTCGTACTTTGTGATGTCTGAATAATGCTGCACTGCTTTTCCAGTGTGCTCTCGATTGTGGCTGTGCTGTAATAGCTATTACTGAGATGCATGCTGCTTGCTTGTTGTGATCTGGCACGTTGCAAAGAAGACAATATTGTGTCGGGGGGGGGGGAACTTCTAATCTTCCAGAACTACAGTAGGGAAAAACGTAATCAAAACATTCATGAGTAAGAAAAGTGTGAAGAGCTTTGTTATGTAAAATGAAATAAATGCATGTTTAAAAAATGCTACATTTTAGAGAAAAGATTAATGAAATTATTTAATAATATCATAATTGAACCTTTTTGACAAAGAAATTTGTGCATCAGTAAACAGCATCTTTTATTTCATTTATTTATTAAATTTTTTAAATTCCACAAGTACTTTGGGTGCAAATTAGTAGTATGTTTTATATGTTAACAATATATAATGTAGTAAAATTATTTTAAATTGTATGTTGATTTAATTGATAAAATAATTGTTCTCTTTTAATAGTATTCTTATCTATATAATATCTCTAAGCATTTATCTTTTACAGCCAGCAGTCTGAGTCGAGCATATGACAGTCATCCTGGTATGGCTTATCATACCAGTTCACTTAGTCGAATGGGAAACTCTCGGCTGCCTCCATATCCACATCCTACTACAATTCAGCCTTTAGCTCAACTGAAGCAAGCAATTACATTTCCATTGACAAGTGCAGCAAAACCCAAAAGTCCTTCTGGTAAAGACAGAGTGTATAAAAGAAATTCTTCAGCTTCTGAAATTGTGTGCGTTTCATCTGCATTTGCTCCTGCACGTGCATGGTTGGTTGGCAGTCCTAGTCTGACTAGAGATAAAAGAGGTACTTAGTTCTAATTATCATAAAAGTTCTATTTATTTTTTGGGAAGTATTTTTGCTTTGCCATTTTCCAAAATAGTTTTAACTAAGATTTGTTTATCTTGATGATTGGTGGTTTTCTTTATTTATTCAGATAATAAATAAAAGCCTTTGTATTCATTGAAATTAAAAAGAGATTATCATATGTGCCAGCTGGAAAATATTTGTTTGGAAATTTTATTTTTCATTTTACTTAAAATTTTAATTTATATTGGGGGGAGGAGAATTTATAGCAACATTAGTTGTGATCCGTGTTACAGTATTTATAATTCATAAACATTAAAATGATATGTGTTCTTTGTTTTTAATAATGACCACAGAATAATTCAAAAATAAATTATGCTTATTTCTTATAAAAGAATTACAATTTTTTACTTATATTTTGCACTGCGAGCTTGTGTGTCTGAATTCAGTTTTTCTGTATGTTGTTTTGCATTAGAATTACATCATTGTGACTAATTGCTACATATTTTTTTTAAATATTCATATGCCTGACAGTGCACCTGAATTTCTTTGACATAGCATATCCTAGTAGTGATTACTATTTCTTTTCTTATTTTTAAATTTTATTTATTGACGACTTTTAACATAATTACAAATTATTTCTGAATGTCATTATTGATGTACTGTCATGATTATATTGTGAGTGTTTACGTTAGTTGTATAATATCTTAATTTTTTAAACATCCAGAAATCCTGAGAATTCTAATGCCCCAGCAGTTCATATTAAATTTAACATACATCAAAATCTTCGAGCTGTTAACCTCTATAAAATTGTTATCTTTGATAATAAGTAACTACTATTAATTTCCCTGATGGAAATGCTTTGTTGATTGGAACATGATTGTTTAGAACATTATTATTTGTGCTTTTCTAATATCTTAAGCAGTTATATAAATGTGCATATTGTAATATATTATTATAATGCACATTATTATTATTATAAATGTGCATATTCCATAAATGATAGATAAACCTCCTATGGATTCATTGTTTATCATTGACTGGCATGGGAATTTGACTGAATACATTCTGGAGCCAAGAGCTGCTGCAGGAAGCCAGAAAACTGATGATTCTCCAATAGAGTTAGATGTTACAGCACATGCCCAATGGAATCTCCTTAGGTAGGAAAATAAATTGATTAATAAAGGTTTTGAGGTTTCTTACTTGTGGTAGTAGTACATTAATATAATTTTTTGTTTTGTTTTTCTGTGTAGTTTTATATCATGCAAGATTGCTTATTGTAGGGCAATAAAAATGTACTCAGTGAGTAGTTTGAGATTAAAAAGATAATTAATAAGGTAGTTATGATTTTTATGACATGACAGAAAATGTTCACATTAGGGCTTATCATGATCCATTGTTTGCTGGCTTTTATAAACATGCATTTCTAATGTCACATGCATTAAATCTGACTGCAACATTTCTTGTCAGTGACTTTTTTTATCTTTTATTCCTGAGTGCATACATTGCTTCTGCCTTCTTATCCTGTTCTCTTATTGATACATATGTGTAATAATTTCAGTGTTAATGATATGGAGCTTGAAAATGTAGCAGCATTCATGGCCAATTAAATATTTTCTTTTATTGTTGGTAAAACAATTTAGTTGGTTGGTGTCATGTCTTTTGAAAAGTCAAACGCATGCATATGTGGAGATCATTGCTTTTGCCAGTTCCACTATCTTTTCCCTATACAGCTCTTCCTGTAAAGGAAATTCTCCCAAGCTTTGCAGAGGTACACATATTGCCACCATTTTGGAGCTTTCTCCAGAACCTTGCCTATCTTGCCTTTTTTAGATTTTCTCCAGAACTCCAGCCTATCTTGCCTTTTTATCCATTTCGTTGGCTGTCTCATTTCCATTGATTCCAACATGTGCAGGTATCCATTGCTTAATGCATGTCTTTCCCATCTGGTTGATTGTTTTTAGGTATTGGTGTACATCCTGGGTGAATCTCGAATGTCCTTGCAGTATTGCTTCTAGAGCAGCCTTAGAGTCACAGTAAATTACAAATCCTCTGGCTTTATAAGTCGATGTAAATTCTTAGGGCCTCCTGAATTGCTCTTAATTCATATGTGAAGTTGGAAGCGATGTTGCGTGCTCTATGGCCTTGGAGTATAGTTGCTCCAAAATGGCGGCTCCGTTTAGTAGAGTGATGTGAAAACTACTTTCACCCTGTTGGATAATCTCATCTGATGAACCATCTGTGTAAATTTTTACCATATCAGCTCCCCAAAAGGATTCAATTGTTCTAGTAACTTTTGCCTTGACAACAGCTTCAGTGTCCTTTTTTGTACAATGTTCCACCAGATCAAAATTTATTTTGATGTTAATGTGGATGTAAGAGGGCAGGTTAGGCTCTTGAAAGACAATGTAGGTGTCATGTTTGAGAGCAATATTTTCTCTGATCTCATTGTCATATTTCAGAGTAGATGACATCTTGACCTGTTGTTTCGGTTTCCAAAAATCCTTCTGGAGATGTGTACTATGTCTTGGCTCCTGGCCTTGTTTGTAATAAAACAATTTCTTGGTACATATAGTTAAGTTGGTTCAAAGCATGTACTTATTTTTTTTAATCATTTTTATGAATTTTATTTTATTTTATTCTTTTGTTTTAACATTTTTATGAAGTACTTGCAAGCAAGTTAAAAAAGTAACATCAGCTAGCTATTAAGGAGGAGAAGAGGTATATGAATGTGTAGATGATGCCTTAGGTTTGGATTAGACTGATTCAGTGTGTATTCAAACTTTGATTTGTTGTTAAATATCAGGTCACAAACTTAACATTTCAGGTTGCAAACTTTAAAAATTATTATTGACTGAAGTATTGCGTCATTAGCATCACTTAAGCCTTTACATTACCTGCATCATTAACATTACTTAAAAATCATTAGCATTACTTAAAAGAAGGATTAATTTTGAAATGACAGTATTTGGTTGAATTTGATATAATCTACCATGCCATCTGATCTGCAGTCCATTTCATACAAGCAACCATTCCTACATAATATGAATTCCAGACTTTTCTTTATAGGTTAAAAATTGCAGGTGAGAATACTTGCTCAAGTAAGAAAACAGATGCAATTTAGAAAGATTTGGTTTAAGAAGTTACTGACTTTAGGGCTTAGAGGGGAAATAATCAAATTAAAAGGATAGTTAATGAGTCGCTGCAATAATATTTTACCTTATACATCAGGTGTGACCGAACTTCATGTTTAGTGATAGCCGCATGTTGGATTGAACGTTCAAGAGCCCCAACTAGATTTTTCAAAAGCCACAAGTTCATGTTTACATCATTTTAAAAGCAGTAATACAGTTTTCAAATGGAAATAAATATCTGATTCTAAACAGTCATTCGATGAAAGTGTGTCTTCAGCATGTAATAATAATGTGTGTGATAATACCTTCAGCATGTGTGTTGAAGACAGTGTGGAGTTTTGTGGTACCTCTTTTCCTGTAATTACAGCTTGGTGCAGTAAAATGTACTCTTTTTCAATTTTAAAATACTCCAATTCTTCCCCAATACCTTCTTGTAAATTTTGATCTATCACAATGCTCATGAAGCTTCAGATTCCTTATAAATCTGCTCCGTAGCGATCTCGAAATTATCCTGGGATCCCCCTGCGTGATCATTCAATATCAAGCACAGTTCCTCAGTTGTTATCCTCAAATTTTATGGATTCTCAAAATTTTTGTCTTTTTTCAAAGTCCATAATTTGCGACTGTCATCAGATTTATTAGAAATTCCCAGAACTTCCAGTTGTCATAAATTTCTGATCATTTCAAGCATTGAATCAATTTATGAATTATTTTTGACGTGTATCAAATTCTGTATGCACTCAAAGACTACTTCAATTCAGTTTCTGCCACTGCTAATGATTCAGAAATACTGGACATGACTACCTCATGAAACATGTACACAGATTTGGGTTAGCAGACTTTTCATCTTGCCCATTATGGGATATTGTGGACGCTTGTTCTGGATTTAATGATGTGTCAATGGCTAATGCTGTCAAAAATTATTGTACTTTTTTTAATGTTTCTGAATTGTATTGGGCTGCCTGTCGCAGACTGATGGCGGTCATGCCAAAATCTGGCGTAGGATTAAAAAAAAAAAAAAAAAAAAAAAAAAGAGAAAAAGAGAGAGATTCAGAAGTTCAGCAGACCTTTCTTGTAAAGCATTCACAAGCATCCATCTATCCATTTGGACAGCATTTACAAGCAAATCTAATTTTTAAAGACAAAATTGTTTGACAAAATCAATACAGTACTTGTACGTTTATGGTTTTGAATAACATTAGTAGGTATCTTAACTACCATAAAATGAAAAATTATGTTTGGACATTGATCAATTGAACTTTATAAAAAGAGATGAAATAAATTACTTTCTTACGTTTGAACATGGAGTAGTTTTAGTTTACTATATTTCATATATATATATATATTATTGCATAAGAGCCACAGCACTCGCTTGTAAGGGGTAAAACTGCCTATGAGAATTTAAAAAAGCCATAGCAATGCCTAAAGAGTGCAGCGACAGAGCAGAAGGGCTCCTAGATCTCCTATGTATTATCTATCACAACCTGTGCATCAAGCAAATGAGTATGGGAAAGAGTAAGAAAAGCAACTTATATATGTACACTTCTTTTCCATTCTAGAAAAAGATGACCTAGTGTTCAGCACAACTGGTGAAATTGCAAATTCAGTAGGTGAGAGTTTTTAATACCACTTCCAATAGCAAGAATTATCCATCTGCATTTCTTTCTCAAGGTTCGCTCTGAGAAAACTCCCATTGTTTTTAATTTTTCTAATCTCTGAGCTAAAATGAGCTTTGTTGAAGATGTATAGGTCTAGTCCAGGTCCTGACTCAATCAGTTATGACATGATAAGCCATCGGATGCCCTCTTTCTTCTTTCTAACAGAGTATGGAAACAGAACATTTTCCCCAGTTGCATGGAAAAAAGCCATCATTGTTCCAGTTCCAAACCTGGGAAGGATCCAAGAAAATTTTCAAACTATTGGCTGATCATCCATATAAGCTGTATTTGAAGACTGTTTAAAAAAATGGTAAGCAAACCCCCCTTGCCTCTGTTTAGAGGAAAAAAATATTGTCTCTGCCTGCCAGAGTGGTTTTTGCGAGGAAAGGTCAACTCTATATTACATTCTTATTTTGAAAACATCTGTACAAAATGACTTTGTAAAAAGGAACAATGGTGTTCATATTTTTTTGACATGAAGACGACCTGTAATAGCACCTGTGGAGACATGGTGTTTTTGAGAATATTTATGGTAGTGGTCTGTGTGGTAACATGCCAGTTTTCATCCAGAATTTTCCGAAAGTTAAACCTTTTCCAAGTGAGGATTGGTACCACCTTGTCAAACATGTTCTGTCAAGAAATTTTGCTTCAAGATGTACTTTAGTGAACTCTCTTCAGCCTAAAAGAAACTCTGTTGTAAAGCAATTGCCGTCTTCCATTTCAGGTGCTTTGTATGATGATGACTTTCATCAGATAAGTTGTCAGGGAAAAGATATGAGATACGTTTAGAGAGAACTGCAGATTACGATTAACAGGATTGTTAATTGGTCAACTCAGCATGGTTTCAATGTCTCAACTTAACCCTTTGACGGTTATGGAAATGAGCAGTTTCCGTTTACTTAATTCGTGCAGCATTAGGAGTAAACAGTAGTCGAAAGTGGCAGCTGTTTTCCCCCGCCGTTCTTCCGAAAATGTCACCTTTCTCTGGCGATGCCGTAGATAGCTCGCCTTCCGTGTTTTAAAAATTTCTTAAAGTATTTGTAGTACATAAATAACAGTTTTTACGTACTTTAAAATAACTATTAAACAGTAAATTATAAAATGATTATAACCAATATATAAAATAATTAATAGTTATATAATAATATATATATAATAATAATAGTTAATTATAAATATAAGACAAATATTAAATTGAAAGGAATAAATAAATACAACTAATGTAAAACTTTATGAAGCAATTAAATACAGTAATTACCTAAAAATCTTTTTGTGTGCGATATATAGTTTAAAACATGGAATTGCACATAATAGGGCATTGCAGTTTTTGCAATAAGTACGTGTTTCACGGTGAATTCTTTTTCCACTGGCATCATTTTTGCTGCAACATACCACACATCGTCTAGTAGGTTCTTTCTAATAGAAAATTTCAGAAATATTGTCACGCAAGCTTTCATGCCTACATCACCAGTAAAAACTAAATCGGCTAGGGGAGCGTGAGAAACTTGAATCAATTATACACCACTGTCGAACACTCGAAAATTCTTCCTCATCGCTTGAATCATCTTCTGAGCTTGAAATACTGTGAACAAAGTCTTCATCAGATTCAAAACTTGATAAGCTTTCTGTATCACAATCATAATCATCATCATACCTATCTAACTTTTGCTTTTGAGCCGTTTTACTGTACAACACCTAAAAACCGCGCCAAAATACATATAAAAGAACAAGGTCAAAAAAAAAAAAAAAAATCCATCTCATTAGCAAAGAAATTCATGGAACTCGTACTGCCATCTGTAGACAGTAAAACTAACTAAATTTCGCGAGTACATTCCTTTGAAACACAATCAGTGCAGAATAATAATGGCGAACGAAGTCAACTCGTCAGCGCACATTGGGGAAAACTTTCACTACGCGAGTAGTGCTCGTTACTAACCATTTCGGTCAAAATCTTGCTCCCGAGCGGAATCGTTTGCGCGCATTATGAAGCGCGATTCGATTGCGAGCTGAACTCGTTCATAACCATCAAAGGGTTAAGACTGTCTGTATACAGTTTTGCAAAAAGCATAATCTTTACCCTAGGGCTGAGCTGCTTTTTAATGTCTCACCCCTGTTGAAACTGAACTGAAATTTTTAGGCGTGCTGTTCAGCAGAAATCTTAGATTTATTTTTGGTATGGTACACTTAAGGAAGAGATGCTTTAAAATGCTGAGTCTTCTAAAAGTGTTGTCAAACACTTCCTGGGAGGATTTACAGGATTAGTGCATTCTAAATTGGCCTATGGCTCAGTAATTTATGGCTTGGTATGATCCTCTGTGCTATAAAGATTAGATCCTATTCACCACCAGATCCATTAAATATGTTCGGGAGCATTTAGAATGTTTCCAGTTCAGAATCTCTATGCTGACTGTTTTGAACCATCTGTCCAGTTAAGGCATGATCAGCTGTGTCTTCATCATTATTTTAGTATACTATCACAAAAAAGCTTTTTCTGACATCTGGAATTTGGTTAAGACTGCAATTGAATTTAACTATTTGTGAATACTGGATTCTTTACTGCTGAGTTTCTGGATCTATAGGTATTAATATAAATGAGCTGGCAAGCATTGCAGTGAAATCTGCTTTGGTTTTTCCACTTGGCATATTCTTCTGAGAGATACCAACATGATCATCAAGAACAAATTCAAAAATAACTGTGGAATGTTAATCCAGTAAGAAGTTGTGAAGTGTCAAACACAGAATGTTGGGAGGCTGATAGAAGCCAGAAGGAGGAAGTAATTCTAAGCTGTAATTTTGTTGAGTTACCCATAGTCAGCTTTTAAAATTTTTAATTAAAAAAAAAAAAAAAAAAAAAAAACCACCCTCCAAAAATGATAGAAGGCTGTGTATTTTGTATAGAAAATTGTAATTTCTGTTTGAATACATTATTTATAATGAATGAATGCTTTTATGTTTCAAAGTCTAAATGTTTTAGATATATGAAAAATATTAATTCTTAACGATATTGCTGATTTTAAGGAATTATTTTCTTTTGTAAAGCTGTTTTATTAAATATATTTTTAAAATAGCCTTGAAATTATGGAATATGCTTTTGTTTGTATCTGCACTTAAAAAAAACAATGTAGATATATTAGGATTGCAAAAGAATGCTGTAATATTTAGGAAAAGTTATGGAAGGCTGCAAAGTATATTAGTAGCAAATTTAGTAGTAAAATTTTAAATGCTTACTGTATTGATGCGACTAATTTAAGCTTAACTTATAAAATCTATTAATGTCATTGCATTTACTTATCTGATGAAATATTATTTTTTTAAAAATAAATTAAAGGCCAGCTTCTTCACCAGAGATCCAGCCACCTTTACCTTTTACAAATCCATTGATGTTTACTGCTGATACTGCTTTTGCTTCAGAAACTACCAGAGGTAGAAAATCGTCAGGTAAATATTTTAATTTATTATAAGGCAGTAAGTCTCAACTCTAGGGCCATGACCTAGCAGAAAGTCATAGAATCAGTTGTAACAGGGTTGTGAAATGTTATCTTGGAAATTGTCGTTAATGTTTTCTAAGTACTTTTTATGAATAAATATTTTATAATGAAAATAGTCTGAGGAATATAATAATTATGAGGGCAATTTGGAAACTAATCTCCATTTTACTGTAGATAAAAAACCCACATAGACTCAACAATTTTAATCCCGTCTGCATAAAACTCAGCTGCCTATGGCTTCAACCAATTTGTCACAGCGGTTTGAAGTTCGTCATGATCGGAGAAGTGCTGTGTTCCAAATCACTTCTTTATTCCAGGGAACAGAATATAATTAGAAGGAGCCGAGTCTGGGCTGTAAAAAAGATGTTGAAACACGTCCCATTTAAATTGGTGCAAGTTCACTGGGCACTGAGCATGAGCGTTATTTAGCTTTTCTTAGTTTTCTCTAAGTAATACAGTGCAATTCAGAATTGATTGCTATATTACGTTCCAACAAGCAAGATTCTGTTAGCATCCAAAACACGGTGACAAAGTTAGATGGGCCTTTCCATAGCTGAGTTGGAGAACCAGTATGACCCCCATGCTGTTAACTGTGGTTTTGTCTAAACATTCGCATGTGCTCGTTTCTATTCACTAATCTGTTCAAAAACTTTCTCCTTTCATGTTGTATCAGGGAAAAAAGTCTTCAGGCAGTGGTTTTCTAGATCTCCGTGAGAATTTTCGATACCCAATGAGCACAAAACTTCTGGTAGCCTAATTTTTTTATGACTACCTGGTACATAACAGTTCGAAAAATGTTCAGAAATTGTTGTGAAACTTCTGAGATTGTGAATGGATGGATTTTGTTGTCAATTTATTTGGCAAGGTTATCACTCACTACAGATATGGCTTCCCTCTCCTTGATTCATCAAAAATGTTTAGTCTTCTCTTTTAGAAAAATCTCACCCACTGATGTTTTATACCTTCATGCATAATAGTGTGGGCCATATACGACACACAGTTCATGATAAATGTCTGCCGCCAACAATTTATTTGCCCAATGAAATCGTATTACTCCTCTTAGCTCACATTTGGCCGCATTTTAAATAATAAAGCACATTTTGGGATGTTATAATCAGCACACGCAGAACAGCACGAGATTCTCACTAGGATCACAGGAAGCTTACTGAATCACAGATTACTGGATGTAACAGTGGTTGCGCTCTTCCCACAACTAATATCGTCAAGCCACATCGGAGGTTAGTTTCTAAATTGCCCTGGTATTAATGTATAGAAAAGTAGAGCTAGTTGTGGCTGTGAATTTCACATTTTATATAAGTTTAATTGAAGATTATGTCATTTGCAAAATATTTTCCTGTATGTGAAAATCCAGAGAGAGAGAAAGTATATAAATTGTGAATCATTGTTTATGGAACAGTAAATGACAACCTCTCATAAAAAACTTTAACTTAATGGATTGACATCAACTAAAGGACTGGGAAGTGTTTTTAATTCTGTGAGTATTTTATAGTTCTTGATACGAATAAGAAATAAATATAGAAATTTGCGTGAAAGGGTTATGGTATTTTTTCTGCCACAAAATCTTTTTTTTTACTGTGATAGTGATTAAAATGAAACAAAAGAGCTGCTTATAATTTATATGTATTACCTTATGGACATCAATTTATTCCAGAATTTATAACTAATGGACAGAAGATGGCAACAAAAATATCATTATTCTAAGTAATCCCAAATGAGCTAAGAGGTGCATTTTTTTTCTTATCTATGGAAAAAAAATAATGCATAAAATGCTATTTAATATTAGAACTAATCTTTGTAATTGAATGATTCATTTATTATATCAATACTTTGCTTATATAAATATTTAACATTGCTGTGTTTCACTAGTCTGTTGACTTCCTTATCCAACTTCCATAACTCATTTGATTTCTATAAGAATTGGAATGAATAGGTATTTTCTTGCTATCTTAAAAAATTAATTTTATAGTATTATACTGAGTGATTTTACAATGCGTAATTTTTCACCCACACTTCTTTAAGCTGTGTCATGGATACACATCATAACTCCGCTTGGCTTGCTATTTTCTCAAATACTTTAAAAAAATTTCGCATATCGATCAATTTAACTTTCTTTATGTTCTTTATTACTATTCAAATGGAAACTTTGCTTGCTTTGAGCTTGTTCTTTTATTATGTTATCATGCTTTTTTCCCCCTTAATTAAAAAAAGTCTTTCAGTTTCTAAAATCTGATCGCTTGAAAAATTTGGCTTGATGTAAGACAATGCCAGAACCCGAATTTCCTTATTATTTTGCTCCTGGATATCTTATGCAGCTCTAGGAGGATGCATTTTAAAGACTTTTTTTTCTTAAAATGATATCTTTTCATGGAATTTAGTAGCAGACTGTGCTAGTTTTTTTTTTTTTTTAATCAAAAATTGAAAATACGATTAAAAAAGAAAGGAGATTTGGCATTTCAAACCTTTAAAGGATTTTAATGAGTTTTTACTTCTTGTTTGGGTTATAAATTAGATTTTTTCGAAGCAGGATGTGTGAAAAATAAGCAATGCCCTCTCCGAGACTCGAACCTCGGACCTCTCGATATGCCCGAATGTGCTGGCCATTATACCACGAAGGCATGCTAAGAAGGTGGCAGAAACACCTTATAAATCTTATATTCTTTTATTCTTATATTTTGTAAAGCTTGTAATGTTTTATCTGAGGGAAAAAAATATCATCATGGGCTCTAAAAGAAAAGGGAGGAGAATAGAGGTAATAAATGATTAAAAATATCACTATGCCGCACAGTTTGGCCAGATTTCTTTGCTTCTGTACCTGTTTGCCGTAGAGATCGATAGAATTTTGACTAAAATCTACATAAAGCACAAGGCTGTTACTTTGCCTAACTTTGTGTTTAACTTTGGCATACCTTTTCTCTCTTGAATTTCATTTCATTGGAATTTAATTTTTCTTTTTTCTCTGCTGCTATTCTAACGAAAGAAAATCAGTGTGAGCAATATTCCATTCCAAAGAAATGTCTTGGGGTTTCACTTATTAGGTCAAATAGAAAAATGTTACCCCCCTCACACGCAACCACTTAAGTGTTAAAGCATAGTCGTGGCTAACTTCAAACAGTGTCCACAGTGTAGGATGAAAGCCAGCAGGCATTTGAAAGTGGCATAAAAGATCTGTTAGTTGGGACAGAAATCTCTCTCACTTTTTTTCTTTTTAATATTATATTCTTTCTTCCTAGGTGCTAAAAAAGCTGTTAAATGTTTCTCCCTCCCCCCAAAAAATGTGCAGTTTGTCAACAGGTTTAGATAATAAAGTCATTCTAGATGTTGGACATCCAAATTCAGACTTTGCAATGTATCTTAGGTTTTCAAGTTTTTATTACTGCTTTCCTTGAAAGATGGCACTGCATTTGTTTTCACTACGCTTTGTGCATTTCTTTTGGTTAAAAAAAAAAAAAAAAAAAAAAAAATTATCATTCCTCCCAATTTTATAACATTTTGCTTCTGAAGTGAGGAACCTATGTGCAATGCCAGTAAAAAAATCCTTAGCTTTATTCAAAATCTGTATCAAACTAAGATTTTTTTTTTTTTAGCTTCCAATATTCTATTTCAAAATCTAATTTATTTATTTATTTATTTTTATCTCTAGCTGAGACTGGATTTTCAACAAATGATGAAAAAGCAATAGATTTGGAAGAAAGCTGGTTATCTGAAGTAAGTGTGTATTTTCTTATTTTATTATGACAAAAAAGAAGTTATTATTATTTTTAAAGGCATTGTTTATAAATTGATTTACTGCATAAACCTTATATTTTGTTTCTCAATAAGCAGTATTTTTAACAATAATCAGGTGAATTACATACTTTTAATGTGTTCTTTTATCAAAATAGGTGGAAATAATTACACATGCTGGTCCACATAGACGATTGTGGATGGGTCCACAGTTTTCCTTTCAGACTTTCCAGCATTCGTCTAACACTACTGTTCTTTCATCCAGCTCATCAGCTTTACTTTCCCAAAGCCCTGAAGCTTATGGGACATCACCTGCTGACATTTTTACCGAGGAACTAGAAGTACAAAGTTTAAGGTACAGCACAAAATATATAGTAATTTTTGGTAAGAGCAGCCTCCCTTGGTTCCCAAGTGGTGAAATCCACTTTTTGAAATTTTCGATTACCATCAGAAACAAGCTATATATAGGAGGTAGGAAAATCATGTGAGGCAGATTTCAAAAATAAGTCCTTAAGCATGAGTGCAAAGTTAGAGTCTAAAATCAATAGGAAGAAATAAATTTGAATAGAATTTTAACAAACGTATGTATACACCACTTGGAAATCAAGGCTCTCATATACTTGTATGCATAATAATAAGATTGAAATATTAATGTACTGTTCTGTTCAGCTACTGTATAATTTTTATGTGAACATCATTTTTATGTGGACTTCTGTTTCACAACCATGGTTTAATAGTGATAACTCGAACATACATCTGATATCACAAGCAAAAAATAAACATTTATTAGACATGCTTGATAATGTGCTAAACAGTAAGAGCTCATTGAAGGAAAAGTGTTACATATTGTAATAAAAATGTGATGCATTTTTAAGTTACTTTTATTGAAAATGTTAATTAAATTAATTTTTGTTATCTGCTGTAAAAGAATCTATTAAAAACAATTGTGGGTAGCCGTTGTGGGTGCCTGATAATTTAGAAAACTAAAATTTTTTTCTGCCATAAATGGTTATGGACATGAATAAGGAGGTGAGATACTGCATATAGTAAACCCTTGCCGAACACAGCCTTGTGGAATTCGATTTTGTGTATATATTGTAATTTAAATAGCTATATTTAATTTGTCTAGTGCAAGAAATTCAGTTGTATGTGGTAAGCTGCAGAGTGCCGGCCACATTGTGATAGCGATACATGCTCCTTACCAAATTTCAGGTGTACAACAAGGTTTACTCTCCCAGAAATCTTTTAGCGTATGGCATCACTGATTCATAAGTCTGCTCAACAACAACTATTCCTTTTGTGGCTTTGTTTTGCCCATTTCTGTAAGTGGCATGATAGAACTCGATGGTTGAAAAGAGTATAACCTTATCTTTATACTGAATTTGCTCTTCACAAAGCAAACCCATGCAGTCCTGCTTGGCATTGCCCACTAGCTGAGTGACCAGGCCGGGCTGCTTCATGTTTATGCTTATAATTTTGTATTTATGAGTGTTTATCCTTTAGTCCTTTTGCATTGATATGTCTTTTAATTTAAAAAGTCAGTATAACATCTAAAAGGAAAAATAGAAAGTAGGGAAAAAAAAATTACCGAGTTCACAATAACCCAAAAAATTAAAATTTGAGCTAACAATGCAGGAGAATTAGGAAAAGATTCTCTCTAATATCAAAGTTTCAGGTGAAACTTCAGTAAAGATTGCTCAGGTTTCATGAATTCCTCAATTGGAAAAGATGGGGAAAATAATACCTTGGACTGAGAATCATGTAAATGAAAAAAGCTCAGTTGCGAATAGTGCTACTACCAGAATTAAAGCTTTGAATTTTTTTTTCTTCTTTTTCATTTTAAATAAAGAGAGAAAATTGACTTTAGAGCCAACTTATAAGCAAGCAAAGATTGGCTTTAAGAACTTTTAGGTTTCATTTTAATCTGAATAGTTTAAAGCTTTTGAGGAAAGCTGACTCTGCAGATAAAGAAACAGCAAACCTTAATTCAAAAGTTCAAGCATCAATTTTTTAATTAATTAAAAACACAGTGAAGCTCTCGCCACCACCACTCTTAAACAAAGCTCAGATCGCATAAATTTACGAGTGTTAGAGAAAAAACTCAATCGGGATTTGGGGGATCCGATAAACCCAATCGGGATCGGGATTTAATTTTTTAATTTAATAGTTAAAAATACTTTTTCTTTGCATACCAACTATTTTTCTCTTGCATACCACCGGTTAAGAACCCCTGCTTTGTGGCATGCTGTTTCTTCATGTTTGCTTCCTCCAGCCAGTCTCAAAAGACATCTCTTTTTACCATATGATTTGAACAACATTTTATCCTGCTCTACCTGTTGCTAGAGCATTTCTCAGTCACTTTTCCATGCCTTCATCTCATTGGAAGAAACCCCAACATCAACCTCATAAGTTTTTTAAAAGACATCCTTTGTTACCATATGATTTGAAGTTATTTCCCTTTTATCCTGATCTACCTGTTGCTAGAGTGAATGGACATTCATGACAGGAATGACACAGTGAATGATGAAGTCATTTCTCCATGCCTTCATCAGTATCTCAGGTCCATTTCATCAATTCACGTGATACAGTGTGTTTGCATCTTGAATTTTATTCACCATTTGTCTGGCGCATAATAACACTCGAGGTTTTGTGCCATTAAAAAAATCAACCAACCAACCAGCCAGTCTCAGACAATTAGAAACTGCTGTAATAGAGGAATGGTTATTGCTGTTTACTGTAAAATAGAAACTTCAAGATTGCTTTCAGCACTACAGTTCGTAACGGGTGTTCGGGTAATTGCAACTGTTGAAAAGAGTCTCTTAATTTCTTAATTCTCTCTCCAACTTCATTTCTGTTTAACATTTTTTGATTCATGAAAATCATGCAAATGAAGTTTGACTTGAACTACAGTCTTAAATGATGTGGGAAAAATAAATACAGTGCTCTCAATCGACATAGTGGACACAGGATCACAAATGGGAAAGCTGACAACAGCTTTGAAGGGCTTTATTTTAAAGTAACAGACTATAGCATTTGTGATGGTTCATCACATTGAAAGCAAGGACAAATGCTCTAAAGTAGTGTGCAAGTCCAGGGTGACCATATGCCTTACTAGTCTAATTTTTGTTTGTTAGTTTTTAGCTTTAAACTTAAATTTAATGACCCAAATCTGATGGCATCATATAATTTACAAAAATTAACTATTAGTTTCATATTTGTATATAATAATTGTTTTTGTTCATGCATAAACTAATTTGCTTCATGTACAATTTGGTGTTGCTTAACCTTTTCATTTTTGTTGATTTTGCATGCTTAACTTTTGGAAGGCAGTATTTTATATGCATACATATCATCACTTCTGTGAATGTTCAGATTAGATCTGAGTAAAGGAGGGTATTTAGCAAAGGGACTTGCTAAAAGGGACCAGTACTATTCTAACATTATTGTAGTAATTAGCTTCATGATAGTATTATTTATAGTATTTAAGCATTTAAGTGTTTTATGTGTATATTATTAGACAGAGTTAAGTGTACCTTCTGTAAAATGGATTTTGTTAATTTGATTTAAATAATACGCTCTTAGACAAAAAAAAAAAAAAAAAAAAAAAAAAAAAAAAAAAAAAAAAAAAAAAAAAAAAAAAAAAAACACCACAATGCACCGAGAAGATATCAAGCAAATTGGACACAAATTGATATGCGTACAGGTTTCGACAAAAAATGCAAAATTTTACATTTCGGCTGCCAATGAATGAACAGTTGTCACTACAGTGCATCTGATCTGCACAACTGGCAGGATATTTAAGAGGAGAAATTATGATTCCAGGTCATAAATTCTTCACGAATTTCATTCCGTGTACTCTGATAGACAGTAACTATGCCTCCCATACAGGGGCACGAACGATATGCGCAGATCTCAGAATTTAGAGAGGTCGTGCAGTTGGGCTCAAAGAAGCTGGTCGGTCTTATTGGCGAATAGCTCATCATTTGAGCAGGAGTGATGCCACTATTAGACAATGTTGGCAAGAATGGGTGAACCATGGCTGCACACAGCGTCAAGAAGGAAGCGGTAGGTTTAGAGAAATGATAGAACGTGAAGACCGAGCAACCGTCAGAGCGGCACTCACAGCCCCAGATGCATCATTATCATCGATTGTATATGCAACTAGTGCTTCAGTGACCGCAAAGACCATTGACGGTTCACAGAAAAGGGGCCGAGGTCACGGCACCCCTTGGGCCGACAACCATTGACCTCTGTACAACGTCAACCCTGTTTGCAGTGGGTGTCGGGCTCATTCACACTGGAATGTCACTGACTGGAATAGTGGTGAGTCCCGCTTTGAACTGAGCCTCGATGACCAGCGAAGGCGAGTCTCGAGATGCCCCAGACAGCGGTGTGATACCAACCTGACTGTCTTCCGGCCGACAGCCAGAAGTGATGGTCTGGGGTGCCATTTCATTTCATAGTAGGACCTCTTTGGTTGTCATCCGTCACAATTTTACAGCACAGTGGTACGTCAACGAAGTTCTAAGGCCCGTTGCCTTCATGTCACACTACCCTGGGCTTACATTTCAGCAAGATAATGCCCGCCCTCACACTGCACATGTTTCTATTGCTTACCTTAGTGCTTGATAAACATTACCTTGGCCAGCAAGGTCACCGGATCTCTCTCTTATTGAGCATGTTTGGAGCATTATGGACAGGGCCCTCCAACCAGCTCAGGATGTTGAAGATCTAACGTGCCAGTTGGACAGAATTTGGGACAATATTCCTCAGGAGGACGTCCGCAACCTCTAGCAATTGATGCCAAGCCGAATAATTACTCGCATAAGGGCCAGAAGTGGACAAACGCGTTACTGACTTTTTCACTTTGTGAAGCTCTATCATTTCAATAAATCATCCAATTTTCTCAAACTGTAATCATTTGTTTTTCTGTACATGTGCATCACTTCTATTGGTTTTCGTCCCATTCGGTTAACTCCTTCTTAGAGCGGCTTTTTTTTTTAGTCGAAAGGGGCTTTGTCCCTGAAGGACTATTGTTTTCGTTTTGCGATTTTGCGTCGGACTCATAAATGTCGGTTCACTTTTCAAACTGTTGCCACAAAATGTTAGAGTCCTGCATTATATTTGAAGCAATTAAATAATGAAAAATCTGCATAAATGATTGTCTATTTCTTGCATTGTGATAAAACAATGGTACATAGAGCCATCGAATTTTGAATGACGAAATCCTACTGCGAATATGGGCATCTGAAATCCCAAATTTGGAATTTGTTTTATTATAGATTTTATATTTTGTAAAACTTTAACGAATTTTTGATTTACAGAGTTGCCAACTCTCCCGATTTTTGACCGCTCTCCCGCCAACCCGATTTACAATATATTTCTCCCGACTTTTTCTTATTCTTAAAATTTCTCACGACTTTTATGCAACTTGGCTTAATACTTTGTTATATGAATAAAAAACAAAGTGCTTTTGTATGTGAAAGCAATTGAATTATTCTACATTATATCTAAAACAAAAACCTTGCTGATCAGATAGCTTCTGCTTTGTGAGTGAGAGCATTATACGTATCCAGAAACGTCGTTTCTCCAGTTCTCCAATGGGCTTTGAGCTCCACTGCGGTCAGCTTGGCATATATTAGCCAATGAGGACAAAGTAAGTTGTTATTTGGACGGCTTTTAGTATTCTTTCATTTGTCCAAGTTGTGTGAGTACACGTGCCTTAGGGAAATAGTTTTAGAAATTATCATCTTTGCTACGTCTGCGAGAAAGTGAAATACTCGTGTACGTTTCAAAAAATGTACACAGTTGACTTTCATTCCATTATTTCCTCAAAGAAATGTAATAAATTTGCGATGTGTACCGCCGTCGTTGCGATTTTTTCGATTTGCATGGTGGAAGGGCGGATGTTCTCAACATGTACGTGGCCCCAAAAACACAAGGATAACATGATTTTGTTTTGAAAAAAACGAAAAATAAATTTTTTCTCGGAAACAAAGGACCAAAAAGTATTAATGCAGAATGTCTGTTCTCTGCTTTTTACTGGAGCACATCCTGCCATGAATGCATCGGATCACGCGCAGCTTTATTTAGAAAAATGTTTCCCGATAGTGAAATTGCTAAAGAAATATCAAGGTGCAAGAATCAAAACAGGTGCAATTGTTAAAGAAATGGGTTTGAAAAAATAAATCTTCAGTTATTGATTAAAACAGCTCGGTCTGCCTCTCTACTGATGGAAGCAATAATACCGATTCAAAACTGTATCCAATTGTTGTTTCTTTTTTGATCCAGAGTCTTCAGAAATTTGAGTGCAGTTTACTTTGGTGTTCCACTTTAGAAGGCTTTAATATAGCACAGCTAATTATTAAAACTTTAAAAGAAAACTGCTGGCACTCTGGATAATTCTTTAGCACTTGGTGCCGATAATGCACAGTATGGTAGGCTTGGAAGGCTGGTGTTGCAGCATCTTAAGAAGGAAAATTCAGATTTCAGATTATGAGGTGCACCTGTCACCTCTTAAATTTAGCAGCTGAAAAAGGGGCAACTTCTTTACCAATAAATGTGGGATGAACACATTGTTGATATTTATTATTATCTGGAAAGGAGTTCTAAAAAAGGAAGGAAAAATTGAAACAGTTCCAACAGCTGCATAACAGCAGTTTACAATTAGAAAACTTGGATGAAGTTATAAAAATCAGCTACGATTGACACCCAGTGGAGTTTAATTGCAAAACTGAAAGGTGCTGATGGAATTTTAAATATAGTGAACTGTCTAGAATTGTGTTGGCCATCTTGACAGTTCCCTATAGTAATGCAGAGTGTGAGAGGATTCTCAGTGTTGTTGCGAAAACGAGGACTAAATTTAGATCTAATATTAGAGATGGCACAATAGAAAACTTTTATTAGCGAAAGCAGGCCTACGTGGCAATTGCTGTGAACACAATGATGAAGTTTCTTTCTTAAAGAAAGCAAAATCTGTCACTGTTTATAACATTTGTACGAAAACTGATTAAAGTGTCTTTTTTTTTTCTTAAACGATGCATGGTAATAAAAAATTTTTTATGTGTAAGGTATTTTTGTGTTGCTTGCATTTAAGAATTAGTTACTACTTAAAGTTAATTCATTATTAAAAACTATATTTTTATCATTTAAAAAGTCTTTTAACATTGTGAAAAATCTCCTGATTTCTTAAAAAAATCTCCTGATTTTTGAGTGTCATAGGTTGGCAAGTATGGATTTACAAACTCAATGCTTTAAAAGCGAGAAATGGCAACGTTAATATATATATAAAAAAAAATACTTTTATCTCCAGCTCGCGAGACTGTGTATATCGGAAATTCTAAAGATATGCTTAATTTAACATTATTTTGCGATATGCTCTTGAACTGAATTTTATGGTTTAAGTGCAAAGAACATGATATTTAATAAATAAAGGTAACACTCAAAACGTTTAAAAAAAAAAAAAACACCCCTTTGGACGTAATTTAAAATCTGAAACATTTCAGATTTTTTTTTTTTTTTTTTGTTTTAAGAGTGTATGTAAGTGTATTTTTATTGTGATTTCATTTTTGTAGTTTGCATTTTTAAAGCAATTATTTTTTTTATCTTTCTCTTTTTTTTTTTTTTTTTTTTTTTGGCTATGGGCCCACCAATGGCTGAGTGGTAAAGTTCCTGAACACTGGTAGTTCGGTCCGAGGTTTGATTCTCGTGAATGGGGTGGCTGGGCTGCATGGGCATTTTCGTGGTTTTCCCCATGTGTAACATGTAACATTCCCTTAGAAAATCCTCCACGAAGGCATCCCTTCCCTTAGGCACATAGCCCTTGAGGCTTTGCTGTAATAAATTTTGATTTTTGGAAATGTAGCAGTAGCAATTCATTTTTTGAATTTCTTTTAAGGGAAAAAAATGTAGTTATAGTGAATAATAAACTGAGAATTTTTTTTATTAAATATGATATTAACTTCAGTAATTATGATGCCATCTTATAGTTAAGCTTGATATTTTGGACGACATATTTTATCATTTCTATCTCATAGACCTGCTCGTTCCAATCCTGTTGCCATGCCTGGAAGTCATCAGGCTTCATCCGGATCACCAGGATCTCTTTTATTCATTGAAGCTAGCTCTGGTAAGCCTCCTTATAGCCTCTATCATTTTTGCATCTGAAATATCTGAATAGTTCTATCTATGTTTTGAAATATTTGCTTTTAATGTTTTTCTGAATAAGGAAATAAATAGAAAAAGAAATTTTGTAGCTCTGGTTCTGAGTTTTAACTAATAATACACTTCATTTTAATAATAATTTAGTAAATAAATTGTAAATCAAAATCATTGTCATTAAAAGTTTTTTTATTTGTTATTATTTCAAAGTTAACTTGAATTCATTTATTTTATTATTTATTCAAATTATTTATTAAATTATCAGTAAAAATAAAAACAGTATTTAAAGCACTCTCACATTAGAAATCACAAACTTTTTGGCAGCTTTGTTAATTACAAAAATCATTTGTTTGGTCATGTTTGTAGTTCAATAGGCACCATTCTTTTCACAAATAATAATTATAAGGTATTTCTTCCGCCTTTTTAGCATGCCTTTGGGGTGCGCCACTCCACATATTTGAGACGTCCGAGTCCCGGCGAGGACATTGCTAATTTTTCATATCTCCTGCTTCGAAATAACCTAGTGTCTCTACAGTGGCCCCCAAACTAAAAAAGGTAGTGGATGATAATTCTCCACCACCAGGATTTGGTGATTGGGTTTCCTAATTCCCAGTCGCCCTATAAAAGGGGTAGTATATAAGGTATTTCTCCCGCTTTCTTAGCATGCCTTCATGATGTAATGGCCAGCACACAGGTCCGAGCAAGTTCCACAAAATGATGTTCAAATATAAGGCATGATAATCCATGTGTACTAAAAGGATGTCTGATATGTGCATATGGGATTTGGCTATTGTTGCATATATACAAAAAAAAATATGGTAATTCTATTGACTGTTAAAACCTAGGGTAAGCTTAGTCAGAAAATACTGAAGGAACTTTTAATGACCTTGCTTTTAATTTATAATGGTGAATATTTTTGTAGAATGCATTGAAAATTATTATTGATTGTTAATTTAGTAACTAGTGAATCTGTTTTGACAAAGTTATAATAACCATTATAATATCTTTTACATCTCCCTACACACTTATTTCCATTCAAGATAATCAGAAATAAATAATTGGTTATTTAAACTTTTCTGTTATATGAATTACATACCCAGAAAATTGCATGGACATAATTGGTGAAATTCATTAGGAAGTACTTTGTGTTGCAAGCATTGAACTGCAGACTAATTTTAAGATTCACTGTTATAAGACCTGTGTTAGCCAATTCATTATTTTTAGCTAAACTTTAGCCGTGTTTGACTGAAGCATTATTTTTAGCTTCTGGGATAAAATTTTTACTACAGAATATTTGGGCTTTGGGTAGGATCTCGCCTCCCTCATTGTGATTGAATCATAATTTCTGTTACAAATTCTTAATAAATTAAATTACTACGTAAATGAAAGTGATTAGTCATGAAAGTGGGATTTTATCACATTCAGGGCTTCAATATCAGTGATGGGTGCAACATTTTTATGGAAATGTCGACCTATTCCCAAATGAAAGTTTTGGCTGTAGGCGCATTGCTTTTGCATACTTCTGTATTTAATTTTTCATCTCCAGGAGCTAAAATACAGCTGTTCTGGTTTTTCTTGAAGGTCCCCATAAGTACTAATAAAGGCAACATTTTTTCTTGGAAGCCCAGTGTGAAAAGGCAACATTTTTTCCCACGGCCCTGGACTGCACTTCTGATTGATCCATCTCTCCTCATCACTTAATGGTTGTCTTACTATAGCTGCTGTGTTCCAATGACTAGACAAACCTGAGACATTTTCTTGAAAGCTCCTGCTTGAACTCCAGCTTAAAGACCACGAATTTTTTTCAATGTCTGTCTTCTTACATTAAACTGTTGCTAGTCGTCATCTTTGAAAGCATTCCTGTAAATACAACTTATATATTACATTTTTGTTTTTGTTTTTTAAGTACGTACAAAAGAGCCAAACCATGATCAGAACATGCCTGTTTATGATATTTTTAACTCATGAGCTGCTAAAATAGCTCTTACTGGTAAGGTATAGGTACAGGATTTCTAATGGTGGTACACATAATTCATTGAAGCACCATTGAATTAGCTGTAGATAATGTTACTCAGGTACTGTGGTGCAGCTGCCTCATTTTTATACATGTGAGGATTTGGCCATAGGTTTCCATGTAACTGGAAGTTTAGTGTCTCTTAGCAACTATTAAAAGTAACAAGATGGGTAAATTTCATGGTTTACGATGCCTTTGATCAAGAACAAATGTCATATTTTTCTTACTTATTTCCCTCTAGCCTTTTAGCATCAGGTTCTGAAAATTTCCAAAATATTTATGTATTTTTCCCTTTTCTCAATGCATTCAAAGAACAATTTCCCCTAAATTTAAAATGGATTCGCTCACAAAGTAATTATTTTCATTTTACTAACAAAGACGAACCCTGATAACTACCTGCAAAGGTCATGACGAAGCTTTCCCTTCTAATTGTTGAACAATCACAGCGAAGTAAACATGCAATGACATTCAGTATAAAATTTTTCTGAACCACCTGCACATTTACCTTCTGTAATTATTTATAGATGATTTAAGGTCTGAGGCGTATTGGAGCCTGTAACTTCTTGTTTAGTTTGTTAAACTTGATAATTTCTTTACTTTCAAAGTAGACTCAACTAATGAGTATATCTCAGGAATTCAAAAATTTTATTATTACATTTTTAAACAGTTCACATGACATTCAGCTAGCACAGTAACACGTGCATCACAACAATGGAATCGCATAGCATGAGCGCCATTACAGTTATAGTTATTTACAGTTAGTTATAGTTATAGTTATTTTAAATATACATCACATCCCTTCCTCCAGTTTATAAACAATAATAAAAATTGCAAATAATATCAATACAAGTATATTCACAATATGACATACAATAAAAAAAAGTTACATGAAAATGATATATGCAATATGTTACATTATTTTATTCCATGACAAAGTCTCTATATCTTGAAGGTTGACTAATCAACCGTCCACTTCTTGTTATTGTATTATTGGATAGATTATTTTGTTGATTTCCTATATTAATAGGCACAGAAACATTCTCAGGGCTTCCATTTGAGTTTTCCTCTTTATCTAATAATATATCATCATAATTATTATTAACTTTGTAAGGTGATTTTGAAAATTTTATATGGTGTCTGTTTCTTCATAATATTTCCCCATTTGAATTTCTTACAATATAGGATCTAGGAGCTTTATGTTTTGAAATTATTTTATCTTTCTCCCATTGCTCAATTCTAAAGTTGAACAAGGTTATACTATCTCCAGGTTTTAACTCAGGCAGTTTCTGTGCGGTTCTATCATAATAATATTTTTGCCTAGCTTGAAGTGCACGAAATTTCGAATAAGGTTTGTTTATTTAGTATTTAACAATTTATTACTGATAGGTAATTTTGTCCTTAATCTTCTATTAAGTAAACGTTGTGCAGGAGACAAATTTATTCCACTAATTGGGGTATTTCGATATTCCATTAAGACCTACACTTAAATCTTCTAATCTACACTTATATCTTGCACTTTTCCTCATGATATTTTTCACTATTCCTACAGCTTTTTCAGCCAAGCCCATTACTTTGAGGATATCTGGGGCTACTAAATTTAAGTTCGAAATCCCAATCCTTCAGCAAATTTCTTAAATAAGTAGCTATTACAGGGATTATTGTCGCAAACGACTTCATTTGCAATACCATACCGTACTTGGCAAAGATGCATTTTAACTTATCATAATTTTATTTACTGTCTTATCTTTTATGTTAGAAACCTCAATCCATTTAGAGTAATAATCGATAACTACAAGTAATTTTGATTACCAAATTGCAAGATATCAAGGGCAATTTTTTCGAATGGTTTAGTTGGAATTTCATGTTGCATTAGAGGTTCTTTTTGATTTCTATTTCTGAATTTTTCACATATTTCACGTTTGGAAACAAGCTGCTCAATGTCATTTGTCATACTTGGCCAGTAAAAAATTTCACGGGCTCTTCTACTTTTACATTTCTCAATTCCAAAATGCGCTTCATGAATTAATTGCAACATATCTTTTCTCTCAAACCATAAGGTACAACTAATTTTTCATTAATAAATAACAAGTCATCATTAATATAAAGCTCATTTTTAACTTTAAAGTATGTTTTTACACTACTATCTACTTTTTTGTAACATTTAGGGCAACCCTCTTTAATATATTTCATAACTATTTGCAAATCTGGATCTGATTCAGTTTCTTTTCTAAATTGCACCACTCTTCTTTCACTCATAAGCAAATATTTTGAAATAATGTGAACAACATTTAGCATTTCAGGATCATCACTAATAGTTTCATTCACAGGATATGCTCGTGACAAAGTGTTAGAAAAAAGCATTTGATTAACCTGGAACATGATTTATCTCAAAATTATACTTTAGTAATTTTAAGATCATCCTTTGCATTCTAGACGAGATTTTATGCAATGGTTTCTTAACAATTGCCATTAACGGTTTATGATCACTTTGTACTGTGACTTTCCGTCCATAAAACAAATTGTGGTACTTTTCAAAAGAAAATACCATGGCCTAATAGCTCTTTTTTTATCTGTGCATAGTTTTTTTCACTGTTAGTCAGGCTGTGAGACACAAATGATACAGGCTTACTCTTTTGAATTAGACACGATCTTAGGCCATCCTTCGAACTATCACACTGTATAATTATATCTTCATTACCACTGAAAACTTTTAAAATTGGAGCTTTGGTTAGCAGTTGTTTGATGTTGTTAAATGACTCTTCCTGAGTTTCTCCCCAATTAAATTGTACCTTTTCTTACACAGTACAGATTTCTCTTAAAGGAGAAGTAACTTTAGATACATTAGGTATGAATTTTGACAGAAAATTTAACATTCCTAACAACCTCCTTCCTTCAGTTTTTGATTTTGTTGTTGGCATATCAATAATTGCTTTAATATGACTAGGATCGGCTTT